ATGAAGACTGTCTGTCTGGCAGCTGTTACTGACACTGTAGAGGTCTCTTGCCTTTCTTTGACTTGCTTTTACAAACTCCACCCCACTGAACATGGGTGTGCTCTACCACAGTGCTCTCAAGGGTTTTAGCTTGTGACCTTTAATAACAAAGCTCTTGTCTCACAAGCTGCAGGAGAAGAGCATGGGCTCTTCTTTAGATCTTTAGGGCTGAAACAAAGGTTGATTATTTGGTCAGTCAACATAAAACTAATGGAAAACTTTTTTGTTTTTAGTTCAGCCATTTTGGAAGTAAAAATGTGACACGTTCACTGGTTTCAGTTTCTCTAGTGTGAGGATTGGCTGATTTTATATTGTTTTAAACTGCATATCAGTGAATTTTGAACTCTTGGTCAAACAATATACCTTGGCTGAGGAAGAATTGCAATCATTCTGTATATTAAACAATTAATTGGTAAGTGACAAAATAAATGACTCTGTTGCTTTATTACTTATCACATGAAGCAAAGAGGCCTAAAACTGTACAACAGTTCACAAATAGTGGCTGGAAATATGAGAAATGTTCTGATATTTTCTGTCATTATCTGACTTTAGATCTGATTGCTTATACAGACTTCTAGGGAGGGGTTTCATCACACTATGAGACGTCACCGCAAACCTTCTGGGTTTCTACATATCCTGTTTGACACACAGTCTAAACTAGAGTGAAACCCACAGGAGCTCTGTCGTGATGAGAGCAATGTGCCTGTCATGCACCAGACAACAGACAGACATCAGTTGTACCCCGAGGGCATTTCAGGGCACAAGGTGTTGCTAGATTATCATTACATGGCCCTGAAATCAAAATGACAATAGCATGATGGCAGCAACAACTTACAGCAAGTACAAAATGGGCTTTCATGTTCGCTAAGGGTTGGGTTTTCATAATTTAGGAAGATCTGACTTAAGTCAAAGTGAGTGTGCAGTAACCCTCTCTTTAATGACAGCTAGCTGAATCGATTACCTGCACAAAAAAAAAAAAAAAACAGGCTACCTTGCTGCTTGCCATCTACAGAGCACCACTGGCACAGTGTCTTCCTGATGTGAGCTGACACCAAATCCTACTTCCTGACATAAAACATACAACAGTGGCTGGCACTTTGCACTGCAGATTATGCCATTTATACAGTGTTCAGGTAAATCCCCACCCACACAAAATGAAAGATACTTGCTTTTTCTGATCCTGTATCCATCTGACAGACAAGTTTATCAATCACTTCTCTTTGTGTTTCTCTTATTATCTTAAAAACTGATACTGAATTCTAATAGCTTTTTTCAGCTGCGGCTAAGAAGAGGTTTAGTTCACGTTTATCACTTATGCTATACAAAATTATGTAAAGAAAATATATACTTAGAGAGAATTAATCATGATTTAATTCACATCATACAGTGCTTTATGTCAGGACATAACTGAGCCAGTATGGGGGTGTCAAAGTGCTCTTCGTAATGACACATTTCACATTCTTTGTGTCTAAAACATACACAGTACTGCTATTAAGCAAATGGAAATAGCTGTGCAGTGCACAGGAAATCAAGTCTCTCTACAGCAGGAACTGGGCAGCGCTGGCACAACCACAGACAACTGTTTCATAACAGTATCTATAGTAACAAGATAAAGTATAATGTTTAAAATTTCCCAGTATATTGTACAGCCAGACACACATCTAGCCCGAGCAGAAGCAGATGCCATAATCAACCAGACCTGTGTAGTGATGGTCGTGGCTTTAATGCCCTTACAACAAAAGGGAGACAACGAGAGGCTCCAACTATCGATCATTCCTTTACCGAGGGCAGAGAGGGTGTCAGGTTTTAGTGTCGTTCAGTACATTGTCTGTGCATTCATGAAGCCACAGTTGCATTGCTTCTCAGCGTCTCATAACAAGACTTAAACAGATTAAATGTTTGTGATTGATCCGCTTAAAAAAGTAAGAGTAAACTACAGAGGCTAACTTTTAACCCACAACTTGCATAAAACGTATTACTTTCTCTTAAGTGATCAAACAAAAGGGCAAAGATTAGACTATTCACTGAAAAATATTATAGCTGAACAAAAAGCATTAAGTTATTTTCACTCTCGACAAGATGCTTGGATAATGACATGATCCGAAAAGAGATGGCTCTTTGCGACAGATTTGGCTTCCTAATCTCTACAGAAAATCAGATTTAAAGATATGACGACCAACAGATCAAATGGGAGCTCTTAAGTGTGAGTGTTGCAATAGTCACTGAATAAAATCCATTATGTTCCTCCAAATGAGTTCTTATTTAGCCTATCCTGACTGCCAAACATTTTAAAATGTCTTTTCCCAGATATTACCTTTCCAGATACGTACCTTGGTAAAATAAGCCTCGTAAAAAAGGCAATGTGCACATTAAATCAAATTATCAAAGTGTGTAATTCTACTATGCTCCTTTGTGCATAAGTGTGTATTGTGTGTAAGCACAGTGCCTTACAAAAGCTGGCAAACTTCAGACAGGCGCAGAGCCCAGGCACTGAATCAGCACAATGCTACTGTGCAGAAGTGCAGGAGGAGAGAATGTTTTGTCTCTAAGCCAGCCGAGCAAAAGAGTGAACACTTACCCTGCAGTTTTTGCATCAGGTTAGTGATGTCCACAGAAGATCGACCACAGTGCCTTGAAGAAGCCATTTCGTCTTACCGCAACTGTAGGACAAGGTGGGTCACTGATGCTGAGAGCAGAGGATCATTCACAACGTCCTGAGTGGGACATCCCCTCTGCCCCTCCTTCTCTCTCTCTTTCTTTCTAATTTCACTGCAGGATGCGATCCAATTGAATCTCAGGTTTCAAGCAGGTTTACTGTCCAATAGAGGTACTTCTTCTATTCAGTGTCTGCAAAAGAGAAGTATGTTAAGAGTGTTTTCACTAAGGCTGTTATTTTACCACAGTTCTGCAACGCATTAACTTAAATGAATTAAAATCCTATTTTAAGAGCAAATAAACTGTTTAACTTATTTATTTTATTAATGTTTATATCCAGACTACCTTAGAGAACTCGGCTTTTACTTTGTACCTTAGAAATTAAGTGAGCTTCAACGCTCTTGGACTTGGAACAGGTTTCATATTAGTAGCACCTTCTTCCTGTGACAAGTCAAAATATCTGCTCTCATCAAATTATGCAAATGTCTTATTTTATTATACTTCCAGTAGCTGCATATACTAACAAATTGAAAAAGATAACACTATTTTACTGATCTCTTTTCCTGCACAAATAACAGTGTAAACTCATCAACTCATTGCTTAAATGACAGGTAAGATACATTTCATTTTTTAGTAAATAAGTAAAAGTACTTGACTGAATTTGGATTATCAGCAGCTCCCAATGTGCCCAGGAAATGTACAGGAAGCCACAAATATAAATACAGACATACAAATACACAAAAACAACAAAGATAAGCAAACATAAACACGTAGCTATTATGAACAGGCAGATATGTGGACAACAAAATACATCGCGATATATAAAGGTAGAATAAAATGGTGATTGAATAGTTTAATTATAGCTACTTAAAAATGTGCAAGCTCGTCAGACCCATTAACACACATTAACACAAATAAGGCCTATTAAAGAGGAAGTTAACAAAAGAAAATGTCGAAAGTACAAATGATTGTGTTATAGATATTTGAATGGTGATGTGATGGTGTAGCTTGTATACTGGCGCCAACTAAAGAGGAAGTTACTAAAACCTCACAAAAACAAAGAAGAACTAGCTTCTTCAGAAAATGACACACACAGTAGTTAACGCTTGGGTAAACACGACCCTGACAACCACCACACAAACTTTATGCTGTCATCAAACTCCAAAGTTGCACCTGACATTTCATCTTACCATTCTAAGCACTGCGGAACATGAGAGCTTTGCGGAGGAAGTGTTTGCGTGTTGCCCGGTTGCCAGTGGTAACGGGTAAAATGAAACATGGTGGTGTGCAGTGTGTGACTACAAGGCTCCAAGCGGCACTGCGCAGACTGAAAGAGGAGGGGTCGGAAATGTGTGGCAAAGTTTTTTTTTCCTCCTAATTTTTAGATATAAAGGGTTCATCCTTTAGTTCGGCAGAGGAATTCCGAGTCTCCCAAAGTTTGTTTGTGGCACCCTATGAGGAGTTTAAAGACTTTAACAGAATGCGTGTAACAGTTTGTGGTGTTAGAAGGAGAAGATGCACTCAGTCGGTACACCGAGGTAAAACTTGCTAACGCAATCATAACTCCTACCCCGCACAGCCCTTCGTGATGAAGGTGATGATGTTTAACCCTGTGTGAATCAGTGAGGCTAGGCTAAATAACAGAAACACCTCACTGTTTAATTCAAACCACAGTCTTGAAATTATCATAAAATGAATTATGAATTTTTCAATTAGAAAACAGCAATACCTCAACGCATATGCAACCCTTATCCCTGCAGGTGAATCACTACATGTCTCAAAACGTTTATCTCAGGGAACCTTCAGATCTACTGTTTTATGCTGATCATAAAGGTTGTCATTGTAAGCACTTCAGCGCCACCTGCTGGACTAAACGTCTAGAGGAAAAAAACTTCAATTTTAAATGTTAGGTCAATTAGGACAGATGAGTGCTTATACCTAATTAAGGCCCTGCTTTAATACAGACTCATGAGAAAAACTTTATGTGAATTTGTAGCTTGTGTCCCCTGTTAATTTGCCGAACGCTGGTTTGTGGTGTTGTCAACCTGAACACTGTAAGGCAAAAGTAAGAGGGAGCGGAGCAACAATTGAAGGAAATCCCAGCTGAGACTGAGAGCTTGATAGCTTTCAGACTCTGTAATGGAAGGTCAGATTTTTATGGTGTAGCTTATCCAGAACCTTGTCAAGAGACTTGGAAACACTCCCAAGACGTATTACGTCAACAGGAAGGTTGTATTTTTAACGGGTCTGACTACAATCCTACTGAAAGTCTGTGTAAAGAGTGTGAGTGTTTTGTGATCAAAACTGTTGCTTAAGCACACTTGTAACGTGCTTTGCTTTACAAAAATGGTGCCAATAGGGCCATTGTTAAAAACAGTATTGATCCTTAGGAAGTGATGCAAAAGGAAACATCCCAGTTTCCCAGTGTTATGTCCCACACAGATAAGCAATGCACTTGCTAATTTTAAAGCCAAAAAGGGAAGGAAGCATGACAGCCAAGTTTCCGCCATAGCAAACACTGTAGGAGAAAGAAAGCAAAAAAGCCTGTCTTCATGTTCATCTGTAGGCTCAGAGTCTGTGTGGGATCTAACACTGACTTATGGTGGAATAATGGCACATAATGAAACACATCCCTTCTTGGAAATACTGAAATCATTTAACCTGGGTGAGTGCATCTGTATTTGTTTCTTATGAAGATGTAGGGACTGTTTTACTCTGAAATAGTAGAATTTGTATTGTAAAATACAGACATAATAGTCCTTCGATTTTTGCAACAATATTTTTCACCTGTGATCTGGCCTTCAGAGGACTACTGAAGCATTATTTTCAGACTGATGTCTCAGCATTTGGAGAATCAGGAAATTGCTCTGAATAAACCAATCAATAAGTGCAATCTTCTATAAGTTATCTGGAACAGGTTTGCTACGGTCCCCAGGGGTAGAACATTGTATCATACAGTATATTTGGGACACATTTCCTGAAAACAACACAGTTCTTAAAACATTTCTGTTTGCCACTCCCTTGGGACTATTTAAGTATATCAGTCTTTGCACATTAACATTTTCTCCCTCTGTTTCTTCAGGTTAATTCAATTTTAACTAGTTTTTTTTTATTTAATACATTTGAAATTATATTTATATACATTTATATATGTCTGTGTATTTTTTTGTAATATTTTATTTACACTATACAGTATATTATTTTCTTAAACAGCAGTCCAATTCAGTTCAGTTTAGTTCAATTCTGTTTTATTTCCGTAGCACCAATTCACCACAACATTTATCTCAGGGCCCTTTACATAGTAAGGTATAAACCTCACAATATTATAGGGGAAACCCAACAAATCCCCCTTGAGCAAGCACTGAACAAGCATTAAACTGCCTTTAATAGAAGAATTACATGTATAGTATATAATTACATGTATTTATTTTTTCCTTACACCTAATGTATGTTAATGTTTTATGTAAAGGTCTTTAAACTGCCTTATAAACACACCTTTTACAGCCTTTGTTGAGAACTAAGGAAACTTTTTGTCATCAAATGATAAAAGCTGGAGTTAGGTTTAATGTGTCATGATATGGTCAGTTTGTGCTTCAACACAATGATACTCAATAGACTGTGAACCCACACAGCAGGTATGATGTAAGAATTTATATAACATTGTGCCCAGTATAGCAGCACCCAGAATCAATACGCCAGAGCACAGTTTCCTAAGACAAATCTATATGAGATCTGCTTTTTCTGTTTATACAACTCTTGTGCCATACCCCTTTGCTAACAAGCTTTTATTTCTAACTTGAAGTGCAGCTAAATCCACTCTCTGGGGAAAACACCCTCCCCATTTTTAGAGCAACACAGTGCATCCAGCATCACACTCTACTAAACATTTCCAAACCTTATTTTGAGCCCTCACTTCCCTTTTCTGACTCTGCATTGATTTTTTCCAGGGGATATGATTCTAGCCTTCTGTTTATCTGTGCTTGTGGGCCTGCTGCTGGGTGCTTTGATCTACGTGCTGTTGACCTGGGTGTCCAGGCGCAGGGCCACCGCCAGGATAACCAGGCGCTCAAAAAAGAAATCTGGTTCTTCACAAACACATGACCTCATGAGCAGCCAGATGGGCCTTTATCGAAGCACGTTTTTGGGTGTCTACAGACAGCCCTCTCTGGAGCCAGTGGGCCCTTTGGGGAGTAAGCCCAGTACAGAGAACTCCACTTTTCGCCCACTACCCAAGAGAAGCAAAACTGATCTGGAGATGGGAGATGACACCCAGGTCACTATGCCTGAGGACACAGCAGCTTCAAACTCATCGGATTCAGCATCACTTGTACCAAACAAGAGACACTCCTTCTGGTTGGGCAGCAATGGACTCAAAGGGTTCCTCCCCTCACAGACTCCCCCTCCTGCATACGACAGCATCATCCATGCCTTTGAAGAGACTTGCACTTAAAACTGTCAGCACTGAAACAATAAGAACTGAAAAGAGAGAACATCCTGGAGATTACAGTGGACTTTGTAGATGTGTTCTGCTCTTTAAAAAGGACAGTTACCTCTGCATATTGACAGACCAAAACATTTCCGTCACTTTCTAAAGCAGCATCTTAAACTGAAACTGAACAAGATCTTATACATTATGAGACCGATGAGGGATGACCAAGTGAAGATAGTGAAATTTTCATAATTGAATAATATGAAAGTTACTTTCTCAGTTAGATGATTAGATGAATGCCCATTACAGTTTCCCAGAGCCAAAGGTGATGTCTTCAAATGTCTTGTTGTGTTCCAGAATTATTCAAGCAGACAAGCAGCAAATATTGGGACAAGCAATTTTGCATGAGAAATTACTCAAATGATTAATTGATTATGGAAGTAGCTATTTTTCGTTGATCATTTCTAATATAATGTTGTTATGACAGTTGCAGGGCATCTCATAACCTCATGTAAATCTTATGTAGTCCAGCAGTTGATAGATACTGGTAATAATAAGAGAAACACTGTGTGCTCAGTAGTTATATTATCTAATTTCACAATAAAGATTTAATGGTGATCATATACTAGTGATTGTGCTTATGTGCAAAAATAAAAGACTTCATAAAAATCAGTTTATTTAAGATACGTAAATTTAGTTTAATCGCAGGGTGCTTAAATGTGAAATGGAAAAGAAATTTGGCATAAAAACTTAGCAGTGTGACAGGAGGTAGTGGGTTACCAGCACATTCACCACATTGTGACAAGAATGCCACCTCAACTTTCATTACAAAGATAGGGTGCGCCGTGTGAGGTTGCCATTATGAAAGAAACCCCCTTTTGAGATGCAGAAATAAATACAGAATTGATTATAAAAGTCACTGGGCCAGACTCCATATTAGAATGTACAAAGATTTGGTCAAACTGTACATAATTATCTCCAGTGATGCTTGACAGGGTTATTTGGCGTATCGGTGCTTTTATTTAATCTAGGCCTGAAGTTCGGGGTGCATTTTCCGTGCTACCTGCCTCATGGCAACCCGTTTTAAAGCACAATCCTGCGCCAGCGGAAAAGTGCCTGGCAACACGACCGCACTGTGCGCCGATTGTCTATGGATTAATGCGTTTATTTTATCAGGTCAGGTACGTACAACAGCATAATGTTTGTTCATATAACCTCTGTGATCAAAGTACTTCTCAATTCTCCACCACGGTTTATTCGTCTCGCCGTCACTGGCTCATTCAGTTTGCTGCATGCGGTCAGATGTAAGACGCCTCTGAATGAGAAATCCAGTTGATGTAACGCCGTTAATCTACAATCAGAGCAAGACGATTTTTAAACAGTAATTTAGATTTATACTTTGTGGTTTTATTATTATCAGCTGCACTGGAATATCTTGAAAATCTGTTTCATGTAAAAATTTGAATATTTGAGTTGACATCCTCCCCTGGCTGGTGTTTGACCTTAAAATAGGGAAAACGGACAGTATCAGTACCCATGGAGACTGCCAGTGCCCTGATACCCAATGCAGTGTTGCTGTTGCATAGAGACTGAGAAAAAAAAACTGAATTTCAAGGTTAAGGCACTGAATAAGAAAGCAGCTATTCACAAAACTGATCTTTCTTTCTTAGAAAGCCTTTACTTGTTGAACAACGTTTTTATTCATTGTTCCTCCTCATTTGCAACAGGACTGCACAACTCTACAGAACCACATCTGGGAGACTTGGGATGGGCCACTGGGATCAAAGCCTCACATCATTACACGGCAAAGTCTAATGCTGAGCTGCTTGATTTCAATGAATACAGAGCTAGACAACATCTGGCTGTATGATGCGTTGTAATTTCCCATAGGTTGTATTGTAAGTAGCAAGAGCACAGCAGCCATCACCCTTCAGTGCATCACCTGAATGGCAATATGGACACCTTCAGTAGAGGAATTTTGACTCAACATGTCCAGGAACCATGAGGTATGTTGCTTTCATATCTGAAACTAGTCTCACTGTAAGGTTATATGGCCTTTTAATTGTTTCGCCCACAATTTTTTACAGTTCATTCTTAAACCCATGGGCTAAACCTCAATTACTTTTATGCGATGCAGCCAAACACTATTGTCACAGAACATTATTTTAAATTGCCATGGAGATTTTAAAACGTTTGCAAAGATACTAAAGTGAAACGTGCATAATATGATGCACAACATATATTAATGCTTTCTATTTGATAGAATGGTGCAGCCATACAAACCTGGGCTTGACTGTTTTAGTCATAATGTGGCTTCAATAAAGAGACATAATATGAGGATAGTGACTATGTGATACACTCAGATAGTTGATTTAATTACCTTGAAGCTAATTAAGGGGAAATAAAAGGACAAACTTGTATGTTTAATGAACAAAGACAGGACTGGGGAAGTGATATTTCAGTAAGGGTTTGCCATTAATGGGAAAATCCAGCCTAATATGGAATTCACAGGATATTTTCCTTTGTTCAGTCATTTCATTTTTAGTTTGTGAATTTGAATAAATAAAATCTACACTGTGGTGATGTCATCTACAGACAAGTCCTGGAGCAGCTCCATAGACAGTGAATAATAGAACATTATGAGCCATAGCTTTGGTGATTTTACTGGTGTAAGGGGGCATTTAGTGATTCACTCATATTTGTGCAAAGTCTGTTCACTCAAACGAAACTCATTAGGATTGAATATGCCAAGCAAAGAGCCTGTGAGCCCCTTGTTTCAGAACCTAGTTTGTGAATTAGTAAAATGTCAGTAAACACGTCTTTTCTTGTTAAATATGAAAGGTTTCTATATACAGTTGATAGGCACTGATTGTACTATACAACGTCATTGGTCATTACTTTGTCAGGGTGGGTTTCTCTCTAACGTTCAGTTTTTCACCAAATAATGTTATTCCCCATTTTTGCTACCCGAGAAACAACAGGCAAGTTATGTGAGCATCTGTAAAAATCCAGTTTTAAGTGTATGTTTGTAGGGCCGCACACAGACACAAACTGTACATTATATCCAGTTTTACTATAAGATCAAAAAAGTTGTATAAACTTCCTCTGCTTAACCAGCCTGGTCAGTCAGTAGGGATGTTGGCTGCCGTGGAACATGGTCCCATCCTCTGCAGCGACTCCAACATCCTCTGCCTCTCGTGGAAAGGCCGGGTCCCTAAAAGCGAGAAGGACAAGCCAGTGTGTCGCAGGCGGTACTATGAGGAGGGCTGGCTTGCCACGGGGAACGGGAGAGGAGTTGTTGGGGTGACGTTTACATCGAGTCACTGCAGGAGGGACAGAAGTACACCTCAGAGAATCAATTTTAACCTGCGAGGACATAACAGTGAGGTGTGGCCTTTAGCATTATCCCTATCTCTGTTGCAGTGCATTTTTCTTTAAAGAATATAGTATGTAGTCTTCTTGCCACCCAGAATAATTTCAGACAACACAATACACTGACATATATTTACAAGAGATCAGGGCCACTTTTAGAGAATCCTCCATGCTGATCTAAACATCAATATTCACTGTCTTTGATAAGACGCTTTCTCCATAGGGAAATTGAATTGGTCCAGCAGCATCTAATATTAGGACAAATGAAGACATTTGGATCTACATGACTGTAAAGCAAATAGAGGTTAATTAGAAATGCATTTTAACTATTTATATGAAAGGAAATAGGTAAATAAATAACATGAACAAATCTGGCATATCACAGAACTGAACAGAATTGAACAAAAGTACGCTAAGACAAAATAAATATACGTGGAATAAGGAAATGTTGCATAAAAACCTCACAGTAAATATGAGGTGAGTAAAACGAGAATGTGAACTCAGATGTATAAAACATGCACCCTGTAACATATGCATTGTCTGGTACTGTGGAGTAAAGTTTTACTGTCCACAAAGGGGCAACTTGGCTTGAGGACAGCAGTCAGTAAAATGGGATTCAGAGAAGATACAGCAATTAAAACAGACATACCATTTATACATACAATGCACTATACTATCATTAATTACTTGTCTTGTAACTACTCTGTATGCCAACTTTCCTTCCACCTGCAATGGGATGTGAAACCACATTCAGTCTAAAATGCTTTCTTAGCATTGTGCTCATGCTGGATATGAAACAGTGCCGACAGCCACCTGTGCTTGTGAAATATAGTAACAGTGTTTTGTCTTTGTGCAGGTTGTCCTGGTGCGTTGGAATGAACCCTTTCAGAAGCTGGCCACCTGTGATATGGAAGGAGGGATTTTTGTATGGATCCAGTATGAAGGAAGATGGTCTGTGGAGTTAGTGAATGACAGAGGAGCCCAGGTGAGCACCAAGAGCCCTGGGAATAACTTACATGTTTGCTTGTGCCATTGTAATAACACATTCATATACCCTCTAAAAAATATAGGTGAGTGACTTTACATGGTCACATGATGGCACTCAAGCCCTCATCGCGTACAGGGATGGTTTTGTGTTAGTCGGCTCGGTCAGCGGACAAAGACACTGGTCCTCTGAGATTAACTTGGAGAGTCAAATCACCTGTGGCATTTGGACACCTGATGATCAGCAGGTACACATCTGACTAAACTTGCACAAATTACTTACAGAATGATCTTTATTTCTCTTATAAAACCTTAAAAACTGGATCTGAACTTCAAATTGGCAGCACTTTCAGGCCAAGTATGCTCCTGTGGTTATTACTCATGTAATCTATTAAAGTTTTATGTACTATACCCTCTCAGGTGTTGTTTGGTACAGCAGATGGTCAGGTGATAGTGATGGACTGTCATGGACGGATGCTTGCTCATGTTCTGTTACACGAGTCTGATGGGATCGTGAGCATGTCCTGGAATTGCCCTGATTTCCTGGTTGAAGACAGTACAGAGAGCGACACCGACTCTGATGACAACGTTCTGCCTCTAGGTACAAACACATGCCCCCAGTGCTGCTTGCTATTTTGTGTTGCCTGTACAATAATGTACTCAATTTCCTTTTTTATTCCAAGTGCGGAGAGTCAAGCCTCTGTTGACAGTCACCTTCTTGTCAGGAGATATCAGTTTAATGAACAACTATGATGACCTCTCTCCAGCCATAATTCGCTCAGGGCTGAAAGGTAAAAAAACTCCTGTGATTGTTACAAGTACACTTACAGTGAATGACTGGCCCATGACACACATGATTTTTGTACAGATGTTGAGACCCAGTGGTGCTCGCAGGGAGACCTGCTGGCTGTGGCAGGCATGGACAGACACGGGCTTCCTGCCGACTCTGCCTGCGTGTCCATCATGAGAAATGCCCTTGTTAAGTTCTATAATGTACAAGGAGAACACATCTACACATTGGAAACACCTGCACAGGTAGGTGCTGTGTCAGCTGAAGCATTCAGTAGATGTTTCTTTGGGAAATATGGAGTAAAATTAACATCACAATAACCAGCAGATTTTTTCTGACATGAAACGCTGTTGAATGAGTATTATTTTTAGCAGGGTATTGGGTCAAAGTGGTCTTTCTTTGGGATTGCAGCATTAGATTAACACTAAAAAACAGAATTCTAAACATGGTAAATAAATAAATACATACATATAACATGTTATATTACTAAAGCATGTTAGTTTGCATGTTAGTACCAGCAGCAGAAGTGCAACCACGGATTATTTTCATTAGGGATTAAACTGCTGATTATTTTCTCCATTAATCGACTGACTGGCTTGTGAAACAATAGTGAGAAATGGCGTCACAAAGCTCTAAACGATTATTAGAATAGTTGCAGCGCTGCCAGACTGATCCTGTCTGTACCTTCACACACACACACATTCATATGAGCCGTCAAAATTTGTGTGTTTCTGGAGTCAGATCAGGATCAGTGTGTGTCTCGTTGTAAGTCAGAGATTAACGAACAAACAGACAATGTGGAAAGTTATTTCGATAGTGCATTTTATGACAGACATTTATATGTTCACACAGTTTATTGTTTGGGATTAAAGTTATAAACAGGACACATACTTTGATCTTCACGGAGGGATTGTGTTCTCGAGGATGTTGGTTTTTGGTAAGTGATCCTGTGCAACAAAGAGACAACTTTTGGAGAAATGAGAGAAACATCTGAGAGCCCAGGGTTCATAACTGCAGGAATTCTTTTTTTTTTTGTGAATGGCTGTTTTTCAGAGACCCATCACCACCATCTGTTGGGGTCACAGAGATTCTCGTCTGTTCCTTGCATGTGGGCCGGCACTGTATGTGGTGCGTGTGGAGCACAGAGTGGCCAGCCTCCAGCTTTTATGTCAGCAGGGCATCGCCAGCGCCCTGCGAGAGGAGAAAGATGTGGGGAAGCTGAACATTCCCTCGCTGCTCTGCTCTTATGTCACCACTGCTTTCATACCCACCATCAAGGTGCACTGATCCCTGATCAACATACAGCACAGAAGCAATCGCAGACAGCTCCTCACCGACTTTGTTGCATTATGATAAAGCAAAAGCACTGACAGTGACATGCTTTCTTTTGGATGTCCAGTAATCCTACAGCCCTTTCCTCTCTTTGTTTTAGCCCCCAATCCCTGACCCCAACAACATCCGTGACTTTGTCAGCTATCCCACAGCTGGGAACGAGAGGCTGCACTGCACCATGAAGCGAGCAGAGGACAGCCCTGAGGCAGGAGGACCCTGCTACACTCTCTACCTAGAATATTTAGGAGGGCTTGTGCCTATTCTCAAAGGAAGGCGCATCAGTAAACTACGGCCCGAGTTTGTCATTATGGATCCAAAAACAGATAGCAAAGCAGGTGGGTTTAGTCACGTTACTCAAATTAGAAAGCAACAAAACCTTCCCAACTATTTTGCCCCAAGGGTCATCCTAAAAACAAACGAAAAGTTTTTTGATGTCAACTGAGAGATAGATGAGTAGTTAACACAGAGATACAAGATTAGAACTTGGAAAATAGTTTTTATTTCACTGTACCTAACATTTATTTTGTAGCTAACCTTTTCCCCTGCCTTCCAGTCTTTATGGTAATAAACTCTCTTGGGCCTAAATCACTTGGTCTTAGCTCCTTATCTAAAGCACAGATAAGAGAGTGGTATCAATCATCTTTTCTAGCTGTCGACAGGATGAGTACCGCTGTTTCCCCAAACGCTCTTTCTAGTAGACTTGCTAGCAGGCCTGCCCAAAGGTCAGAAATCGTGTTCCTTGTCATTTTGAAGTTAAATCTGCACTGAGTTCTTCTTTTCACACTTGTGCTCCATTTTGAAATAACAAAATTCCTACTGTGTGCCCATCATTCACTTTGAGTAAGAACAAATATGGACTCTGGTGATGACCATTCTTCTCTGAGGCCTGATGAAGGAGTAGTCTGTGTCATGGCCTGACTGCAGCGGCCTGACTGCTCAAACATTTCGTTGATTTTAATCGACAATGTTCTTTACCCTGGGGCAGTTCAGTGCCATGTTAGTACGTATTAAGGCTCAGTTTAAACTCACCTCTGCTGGTTTGTGCTTTTTTTAGAGGAGGTGTGTGTGAATCCCATGATCTCATACACTGACAGCTGTAACTGCTCTGACTCCAGTGACATTGAGTTGAGCGATGAGTGGGTCGGGAAGAAGTCACCAAAGTTATCCCGAGGAAACAGGTCACCTAAACTTGACATGTCCAACATTAAACACATTACACAGGCCTGAGCCACAGAGCATTTGCAGAAATTCTGTTGCATTTGTTTCCCAATGCTTATGCTCATATTTCAAAGAAAATATAACTATAAAATTTACCTCTTTGTTTCAAAGGATAAACATAGAATCAAGAAAATCTCCCAAACTTTCACGAGCAAATCAGGAAGGCCAACGGTCGCCACGGTTGCCAACTAAGAAGCCTCCAGTTCGATCACCAAGTCTAACCCGTCGAGAATTTTCTATGGATGGGATCACAGAGGTACAGTATAGAAAGATTCATCTGGATTGTCTCCTAATGATGCTCTAGTACAGTAACTGCACTAGAAATCTGTCTTATTTGTCAAAATAATAAATTTTCATGATAAAATTATAATAAAAAAATGTCAGTTAGTAGCTGTAGTGTCACAAAAGGATCTTCATATCACATCTGTAGGCTCATGTCAACCCCTGATAAATTGTTTGTGCATCTTCCATTTTCATTGCTTCACAGCACAACTACCTTGCTCAAGTCACATCCAACATTTGGGGAACAAAGTTCAAAATTGTTGGACTAGCGTCGTTCCTTCCTACCAATCTTGGTGCAGGTAAACGGCGAAAAAGCCACACATACACATTACTTAAATCCAATAAACTGAACATTCTTTTGAATGTTTTTCTTTCTCAATCCTCCTGTTTTTCAGTCATCTATAAGACCAGTTTGCTTCATTTGCAACCAAGACAGATGACAATTTACCTTCCAGAAGTGCGAAAGATTTCACATGACTTTATGAGCTTGCCTGTGTTCAACCCCAATGTGTTCAGTGAAGATGAGGATGACTTACCAGGTGTGATTAAATTTTTGGTTCAGATTTATTTAGAAAGCACTGTAATCAGATTTATTTTTAATGCATCTGATTCACTGTCTTCTGCCTTTTTGTGCAAAGTAACTTAGTTTTTATGTGTGTGTGTTTATAAAGTGATGGGGCCATCTGGAGTGGCAGGAGACAATCCTCCCTGCACAGTCAACATTCCCATTGCTCCTATCCACAGCCCAGCTCAGGCCATGTCCCCGACTCAGAGTATTGGCCTGGTTCAGTCTCTGCTGGCCAATCAGAACATTCAGCTTGATGTCCTGACCAACCCTACAGCCACTGCAGCAGCAGCAGCTGCAGCAGCAGCTTCTGTCCCCGTCACTGATCATGGCCAAGATGCGGTTGCAACATCATACCCCGTGCCAACTAGATACTCAAATCCTGGTCAGGTGATCTTCAGCGGGCTAGAGATGGGAGCTCTTCTGCCTGGAACTCTACCACCCCCACCTCCACCTCACCATCTCCCACCGCAGCCTCACCCACAGCGGTCTCATTCACAGCAGCCTCACCAACAACCATCGAAACAGTCACAACAGTCACAACAAATGCAGACACAGCAGCAGCAGCAGAAAATGCATCATCATCATCAGCAACAGCAACACCACCATCAGTCCCAGTCACAGCAGCAACAACAGCAATTACAGCAGCAACAACAGCAATTACAGCAGCAACATCAACAGCTACAGCAACTGCACCACCAACAGACGCTACAACAACAGCAGCAACAACACCAACAACACCAGGTTCAGCAACACCAACAAATGCAGCAAACTCAACATCAAGTAACAAACCAGCAATTTCAACATCAACAGCAAATCCAACATCAGCAGCAACAGATGCAGCTGCAGCATGAGCAGATGCAGCAACAGCAGCAACAGATGCAACAGCAACAGCAACAAATCAGGCAACAGATCCAGGAGATGAGGCAGCAGCAGCAGCAGCTCCAGCAACAGCATCAGCAGATCCAGCAGCAACATCAACAGATGCAGAGGCAGCACCAACAAATGCAGCAGCAGCTGAAGATACAGATGTCACTGCCCCCTCCTCCATCTGGCTATCCAACTATTTCCTTACAACAGCTTCATCTTCTGCCTCAAATTCCTCCACTGACCACTGAGCCTGGGTTAGACAGGGGTGAGCATGGACACACTCTGAAGCCAACTCTGCCACGAACTTTACCTCCCTCCTTAAATGACAGAGATGGGTCTGTGGAGATTCAGATGAGGAAGGTGAATCCTCCTCCCCCGTACCCAGGGACCGTGGTGTCTGCAGCAGTGGCTACAGCTGCTGCTACACCTCAAACTCTTGTCACAAACTGTGACAAGCCGAGTGTCCTGGCTCCTGACCCCTGTCTTAAGAAAGATGAGTTTTTGCTTAACTCTGTCACCTTACAGTACCCAACTCCTCTGGGGTATGAAAGGATCACAACCTTTGACAGCAGTGGCAATGTGGAGGAGGTTTGTCGACCACGCAGGCGCCTCATTCGCAACCAAAATGCATATACTGTGCATGGCATCGGGGGCTCAGCTACACTCAAAGTTACTTCCTCTGAGAGTAAAAAAATTCAGCTTCCATACAGCTCAGCGACACTGAGTCGTCTTTCTGTCCCTCGATACTCAATACCAAGTGGAGACCCTCCACCCTACCCTGATCCGGCCAATCAGCCACTAACTGCAACACTTCCTCCCCCCCAGAGAATTGATAGCAGTCTGATGCATGCCACTCTACGCCATGACCGCAGAGATGTGGGACTTAAAGTGCCACAGCTGATGGAAAGCTCAAGAACCCTTCCCACCAAGGCAAAAATGAACAGTGCACTACCTCTTAGCTACCAGCAGAGGGTGCCCACTGCACTGTACACATGCACACAGTGTAGCAGTAATAGCAGCAGCACCAGTGTCAGTGTCACTGGAGGGGGAACTACAAGTAGTGGTATTGCAGGTGGCACAGTGGTGAGACAGGACTTCCCACCGGGCAAAGGTGCACATCACAGTACTATTATCGTGCACTCCAAAAGTGCCTCACCCCTGGCCTCCCAGTCATCTTACAGTCTGCTGGGTGCTGTTGATAAAAGCCGAGACAGAACAGTGTATGTTAACTCTGCCTTTACAGAGGATGAGACTTTAAACCAGCAGTGTCACCTTGAAAAATCTGTGCGTCAGTTAACGCTTGGTGATGTGAGTTTGACAGTTAAACGCCCTCCGCCTTACCAGTGGGACACCTCCGCCACAGAGGAGTTCTGGCTCACCCCAGAGCAAACAATGTTAGCTCCCCCACTGGGACCTCATAAACCACCTCCGATCATCATCAGTCAAACTCAGCACTTGGATATGACCCGACTTCCTTTTGTCCTCACGACTAAACCTCCAACCAGTCCGAGCACAAGCACTCTTACTTTTCCATCAGGGTACCAGATATCCCTATCTCCTTTTCCTCCGGGTGTGTCTCACAGTGGACCCCCACTTCAGACCTTACAGAACCCTCCACCACAGTGCTCTCCAAATGAAGTGGTTGGTCCAGTCCCTTTTGCTCAGCAGGATCCCAGTTTGGTCTTGCCTCCAGGTTACCCTCCGAATCTTGCTAACTTGGCTTGCTGTCCTCTCCCTCCAATGTATCCAGGAGCCAGCTCATGTGCTGGACTCCAGCTGCACCCTGTCAGCCTTCACCCCTGGAACCCCTACCCATGCCCACCACCCATGCAAGACCCTCCAGCACCTCCCCTCCCTACCAAAACTCATCAGATTTTAGAGAAGCCAATTCTCTCCCCACCACCTCCAACTGCTCCCCCTCCACCGCCCCCTCTCCCCCCTCCTCCTCCACCTACTGAGCTACCACCATCCAAAAGTGCTACAGAGGATCTAGCAGAGTCTGCCAACAACTTTCCAGAGCCATCATCTCTGAATGAAAGTCCTGTGCCACAGGAGTCAGAGCGATTCAACAAGAAGAGCCGTAAAAGACTGGACAGTAGAGCCGAGGAGGCCAACATGCCCACTGTCTCTGAGGGCAAATCCAGAAAGGATGGGCGTGCACTCTCTGATTTTAACACCCTCATTTCCAGCCCAAGGCTTGGCAGTAGAGAGAAGAAAAAGCCCAAGGGACAGAGAGAGCAACTCAATAAAACCAAGAAGATGAGCAGGACCACAAATGAGTTCCAGGATAGTTCAGAGAGTGAGCCAGAGCTGTTCATTAGTGGTGATGAGCTCATGAACCAGAACCAGAGTAGTAAGAAGAGCTGGAAGAACAAGCGTAGCCTGCGTATGGCGAGTGAGCTGGAGGAGATTAAATGCCGCAAGGCGAATGAAAGAGAAGACCGTAGCTTGGGCAGCCAAGGGTTTGTCTATGTTATGGCCAATAAACAACCATTATGGAACGAAGCCACCCAGGTCTATCAGCTGGACTTTGGAGGACGAGTCACACAGGAGTCAGCAAAGAATTTTCAGATCGAGCTGGACGGTAGACAGGTAATGTTATCAGAAATCTTAATTCAGAGCTGAACACATTAGTCAGTTGACGTTAGTTAGTTTGGCAGAAGATATAATCTACAATATTCTGGTAAATTCCTTGAGTCACAATTTCATAGCAAAACTAAACATTCACTCGTTTCTGTTTTTCAAATGTGGTGATTTGCTGCTATTCTGTGCCATATATGATAGCACTGAATATTGGACTGTTGGTGAGACAAATACACAATTAGCAAAAAGCTCACCTTGAAATTGTGATCAGCATTTTTCACTATTTTATGACATTTTATAAAACTCAGTCAAATAAAAAATAGACATGTCAGCAATGAAAATATTAATTAGCTGCAGCCCTAGATGAATCAGCTCAAATTGTTGACATGCTGGTTATATTATTATGCACTTTTTGAACTCTCTTTTTCTTTTGTCTTTTTTTAGGTCATGCAGTTTGGGCGAATAGATGGGAATGCATATATTTTAGATTTCCAGTATCCTTTCTCAGCAGTACAGGCATTTGCTGTTGCCTTGGCCAATGTGACTCAAAGGCTGAAGTGAAAAAGTTGTTTTGTGTTGTTGTAAACAAATTGAAAAGAAGCCACAGTGGCGTTACTGTCCAACCTGTGATGTGGGGCTAAGAAAATGTCAGTGTTGTGGCGGTTCTGTTTTTTAAAGAGGAAATTAATATACAAGTTGGTCTTGCACATGCTGATAATTTACAGTCAGGGCAGAGTCAGTCTAGGTCAGTGAGGATGAAGTTATGCTCTTAATTCATAAGGCCTAGTTGATATGTTGAATGCTTTCAAGCTAATTTTATTTATTATTCAAATATTAATTACTGGAATAAATGATACACAACCTAATGTCATATGTCAAACTTTCTTGGATAAACAAAAGGTAAACTATATTATATGAGTCAAAGGTGTGGACACTTTCCCGCTAAATTTAATGGGACAGCATTTATGATGCGTCCAAAAAAAAGTAAATATCTTGAAGTAGACTGGCATTCAAAATTGCAGATAAAATTTCCGTAAGCCATACCCTATCTGAACCAAACACTGTACTATTTTAAGTATTTAAGTGCAGTCAATGAATTGTGTTTCTTATGAGTATCAAGTTTATTGTTATTTGGGTTTCAATGTCTTTGTTTCATCTTCATTTAAATCCAGTTTGTTCAAATTCTTCTGTTTTGTTAGTAAAATCTCATATACATTATGTTTTAGTTGCTGAACATGCATTTGAAGAATATATTGAGTTTGTAATAGCAACATGAATAGCTGGGTACAGATAGCCATAGTTTGTATATTTTCTATCTGTGTTACTTCTATGAAGTGGTGCAATGAACTTAGTCATTCATATTTTTGGCCACTGCAAATCATGATAATTTTACAATGTGTTAATTTTCCATGTGTGAAATTAAACACTGTCAAATGTTTTTTCTCCCTCCCTTTACAATGGCTCAAATTGTCAGTAATGGTGTAGTGAGTACAGTATAGGTGTGCCAAATATAGTCAAATGTGTTTGGCTGAAAGTAAATCAGTAGGAAAATTCAATATTCTTTTCTGATGGTCTCATACCCAAACATAATAATTTGCATATGGTAAAGATGGAGATCTTCCCAGTCGGTCTCACTTGGTTGGCTCTGTGTTGTTTTCATTGGGTGTTTATGATGCTGCTTGAAAACTGCAATAGAATGTGAAGTACAGTAGTTTGCCTCTTTGGAAATCAGTGCTGCTTTAGATAGAGCTTGTTTGCACTAATGCTACCTACATAGAACTGATGTTGTATTCGCAAACAAAAATATCATGCTGCTTGCACTTTGTATTTAGTAAGTGACCTAACATCATTATATGCTTACAAAAATGTGCTTATATGTTGCTAATTTTGGTCATTTTTGCACTTCACCTTTGTTTTAACATGGTATAAAGAGTTTTTTGATGTTGCACTTACAGAAAAAAGAACAAAAAACTTGCAAAGGAATTAAATATAACATAGGTTTTTCAGATTACTTGTTAGTAGGAGTGAGATTTGTGTATATTTGGTGCTAATGTATAAAGAAACAACTGAGAAAGTGTTTGGACGTTTGTCATTTGCATTTAGGTTATTTTAACATGAAAGTGTTTTAAGAGAGCTTATAGGAAATTTAGTAGAGAGATTTCATTTAAGAGCTCTTTATTTAAAGCAGCTTCAGAGACTTCAGAAAAGGTCTGTGTCAGTTATCAGCAATACTGCCTAATGAATAGTTGGTTGCCTGATTTCCTTTCTCTCTCTCTCTCTTTATTTGTGAAGGAAACAAAAAAAATGACATGACCATGGGTTTACAAGGACCTATAGGCTGGCCAGAATAAAAATCTATTGTTCTAAATGTTTTTGTTGCTGTGTTTCATTTGTTGTTTGGATTTTACTATCAGGTGCAATGCTAGTGATCTATGTTTATAAACATATAACATCATTATATATAGTAACAAACGTACTGTAGCTTATGTATTTTGTATTCAGATCAATTGATTATAAAGTGAGAGATCGCCCATATAACCCACAACTTGGTATGATTAAAATAAAGTACTGTTAATCATTTTATGATTTGGCTAATTGTTTGTGAAAATATTTGCACCGGAAGCCGCATACAGAAGCTTTTATTTTGAAGGCAGCAAAGGGATACGTTGTGTTGATTCGGATTTACCTTGAGACCCTTCGTTTTAGTGTGTTAGGAGGCTGTGGTTTGTAGTCGCTGAACAGACAATAAGAAGCTGTTTTACTGTCGGGATTTCTCTTCTGTGTGTCGTTATGTCTCCGTTCGAATTTCTGACCTGAATAACTGGATTCGAAACCCTGAAAATTGAAAATGGACACGCACGTTGACCTTCAGTCAAGAGGTTGGTGGCTTCAACGGCTGTAATAATTGTAAATTGGCTGTAAATAATGCTAATGATCACCGATCTTAGCAGCTGAGTTAGCTGTTAACTATCGTTTGAATAAAACATGAACTTTATGTCATTTACTTTCCACATGGTCAAATCTCATTATCGATTTGGGTCTTTCTTTGCTTTTACTCAGATAACAGAACTTCAGCTGACTCGACAGATCCTCCCCCAAGGATGACAAGACAGCAGACACTCACCTTAATATCAATGGCATCTGTCAACTTCAGTGCAATGATTTGCTACTCAATATTAGGCCCATTTTTCCCCAATGAGGTAAGAAGATTTAAACCCCAAAAGCACATGTTAAAGTACAAGAGGTTAGATGTTTGGGTACTAAGCTCCTTCAGAGGTGGAAAAAAATCAGCCTGCATTTACTCAAGTACTGTATTTAAGTACAATTTGAGGCTATGTATATTCTGCTCCTTTATACTTTGACATTATTACAGTTCAGAGGCATGTACTTTTTACTCTGCTACATGTATTTGATAACTTTGGTTATTTTCCTGAATCAGATTAATAAAATTAATTACAGTATAACCAAAAGACTTGAGTGACCCTTTTGGTACTTTAAGTATATTGATGCCAATACATTTGTAAGCTTTACTTAACACTTTGAATACAGGACTTGTAACATTTTGACACTGTAGTATTAGCACTTTAGTCTCTACATAGTGCTACACTCTGCACAGTGTCCACAAGTAATCAGAAAGATAGAAATTCTTTCTTTTGTCTTTTGTTAATCGGCCTTGTTACAGTTGCCAAGGTCGGTTATCTAATCATGTCAAATACTGACCCAATTAATTGGCCAACAGATCAGCTGGTCTACCATTACTCTATAGTATTGCTTTCTCAGTGGAAGGAATGGGATCATGTGCTAGATATCAGAATGTCTCCCTGAAGGCAAGTGAATGATCGGCTCTGTTTTACTCCATGAAGAGGGTCTCAGGTAAAGTCATGTGATGGCGTGAGCAATCACTGTTAAATGAAACGTAATGGAGAAATCAATATGGCAAGATACCGATCGGCCATTTGTGGATTTAATTTAGAGAAAAAAATGTACTGTTAACTGTATATTTCCAATTTATTTTCCATTTATTGACACTCTTCTATCCTACAAGATGTGAAGTTAGAATTTTTTGTTACTCAGATTGTGTGACCTTATCATAATCCCCTCTCCTCAGACCTGTAAATGACTATTCATATTCCTACACAGGCAGTAAAGAAAGGAGCCAGTCAAGCTGTTGTTGGGCTCATATTTGGCTGCTATGCTGTCTGCAATTTAATTGGTTCATTGGTACTGGGAAAGTATGTAAGTATATGTCATAATTTCTGATCCGATCGTGTTATTTGTAACTTTATTTGCTGCACCAGAGTAACTGACTCATTCTTTGTCATTTGTCCAAAGATTGTCCAAATTGGTGCAAAGTTTATGCTGGTTACAGGACTTTTTGTGTCATCAGGCTGCACCATTTTGTTTGGGTAAGTGTTGGTCCTGTTTGCTACATCAGTACCAGGTACCAGCAGGTCTCCCTTGAAAAGGAGATTGAGATTCAGCCTTTCTGCTGTAAACACTCACTATTAAAGAGCAACAAATGCACCATTTACTGTAACATTTAACGTTTGCTAAAAAAAAAAATACAGTGCCAAGCTTTTTTGATATTTAGGAAATTATTCTTTTAAGAAGATAAGATTGACTTTATTGTCCCCGAAGCAGCACAAGTACTGAATAAAATGGCATCAAATAGGATACACCTAAGTATAAACATAGTTGATAGATGAAAACCAGATGTACACATGCGGCAATGTCTATGTTTAAATTAAAGTCAGATGTCTAACTCTGACATCAGACATCTGACTTAAAGAATTCTGAAATTAAAGTGAGAAAAGTGTAAACAATATTGCAGTCAGTAACAGACAATGTATGGATTGCACAGGTTTTGTCTCCTTGAGATGCACTGAAAGGCAGTCGTTGTGCAGCAGACTTAGTACCATGGTGTTTGTGTATGATGTAAACAGGACAGGTGAGCTCACGCAGCCTTGTGGTGCTCCTCTGCTACTACTGTATATTTGGTCTCAGTGAGGAGCAGCTGACTTTTACCTGTTAACTCAGCTGAGAGCTACAGACAGGGTAGGGTGGTTGAAGAGTATTAGAGATATGTTAATGCACTGTTGGTGTTAATGTGGATAAGTAAAGATTTGTGATTCATCTTAGTCACTAATCCATTTATTCACCCCTTCATAAATCATGCACTGTTCTTCGGAATTAACAGCTTATGCAGCCAGCTTGCATTTAATTCACGTTTTCTATTTTGTTTTCGGTGTTGGTTGATTGTCTTCTCTCTTTGCTCGCAGATTACTTGATCGGGCTCCTGCAGGAACCGCTTTCATTAGTCTGTGCTTTATAGTGAGGTCCATCGACGCGGTGGGCTTTGCTGGTGCTATGACCTCCTCGTTTTCCATGATGGCAAAAATATTCCCAGACAATGTTGCAACTGTTTTGGTGAGTCTATTCAACCCTTGTCTTCCTGGCATGCTGTCTAGAATCAGAAAACAAACAAAGCGTTGTGGTTTGGCTTGTTTTATATCCCTCGTGTCCCTGGTACCATGGAGACTAAAAATATTAAAGCTTTTGGCAAATAGTTATGTTGGAATAGTTGTTTCTTCTTATGCAATGCACTGTACATGTAATTCTATGTTTTAATGTGCTTAACTTCTCTCTTTGTAGGGTATTTTGGAGCTTTTCACAGGACTTGGTCTCATTCTGGGGCCACCGGTGGGAGGGTGGCTCTACCAGTCGTTTGGATATGAAGTCCCTTTTTTTGTTCTCGGATGTTTCGTGTTGGTTATGGTTCCTTTCATCATTTATGTCTTGCCAAACATTGGTATCAGTTTGAAGATATCGGCAATTTATTTATGTTCAATCATTTCAGTTTTTTTTTTGCCTCAGATTCTAACTTTGAGCTATGTTTTGTGCTTCTTCTCACGTGTAGATGCAGCCCCTTCAAAAGATTCATTCTTTCGACTTCTTTGCCACGTGAAAATAATCCTGATCTGCTATGCGATATTCACTTTTAGTGCAGGTCTGGGTTTCCTGGATGCCACGTTGTCCCTGTTTGCCATTAAGAGGGTATTTTCCTACCTTCTCATGAAGTCAGCTTGTTGTAGATATTGTTTGTGCGTTAATCATCATTTACTTCTGTGTTGTACTTAGTTTAGTCTCTCACCTGGCTATGTGGGAGTCATCATGCTTGGTCTGTCGTTACCGTACTGTTTGGCATCACCACTAATTGGTTATTTTGCTGATAAATATCCTGTGAGTATGAAGTCAACCAAAATGATTGCATATGGATAATTATTTCTTTATTTTTGGATAGTTATTTTTGTTTAAATCCTCTGTATGTGTTCATCAGGCCAACAGGAGCTGGTTCATGGTGACGGGAGGTATTGCTACAGCGGCTGGCTTCTGTCTGCTTGGTCCTGTTCCTTTCCTTCACATGCCAAGGTGAGCATGTGTTGAAGGTGGACACTAAAGGAATAGTTTGTGTTTTGGGAAATGTGCTGGTTCGCTTCCTTTCTGTGAGTTAAGATGAGAAAAATGATACTGCTTTCATTTCTGTCCATTTAATATGAAGTTAGAGCCAGCAGCTGATAGCATAGCACAAAGAGTGGAAACAGAATCAGCTGGCCTTAAATTGTTGTTTTTGTACAGATTAAACAAAATGTAATGACTTTATTAGTGAGCTTTAAAGGCGTTGGCAGGTGGAGTTGTACAGAGCCAGGTTACCTGTTTCCAGTACACATGCTAGGCTAAGCTAACCAGCTGCTCACTGTAGCTTCATATTTAATCACCAGATATGAGAGTGGTATGGATGTAAAAGCGAATAATCACATTTCCCCAAATGTCAAAGCTTAATGACAACTGGAGATACAGTCTTATGCAAAAGTTTAGGCACCCCTTGATAAATAACAGATTTTGGTGATTTTTTTATTTGAACAGATGTTAACAGAGTTTCTCTTGGAAATGGAAAAAATGCACAATATTTTCTGCAAACAGTGATGCATAGTTACTTCTTATGCCATAAATTGAACAAAAATAAAAAATAAAAACATTATTATGGCATGGTGCAAAAGTTTGAGCACCCTACACAATCAGTACTTAGTAACACCTCCTCTGGCAGATATCACAGCTTGCAAACGCTTTTCATAGCCAGCTAAAAGTCTTTCAATTCTTGTACTTGGGATCTTCTCCCATTCTTCCTTGCAAAAGGCTTCTAGTTCTGTAATATTCTGTGGTCGTCTTGCATGCACAGCTCTTTTAAGATCTACCCACAAATTTCCAATGATGTTTAAATCAGGGGACTGTGATGGCCATTCCAAAACCTTCAGCCTGCGTCTCTTGAGGTATTCCATAGTGGATTTCGAGGTATGTTTAGGATCATTGTCCTGTTGTAGAAGCCATCCTCTTTTCAGCTTCAGCTTTTTTACAGATGGTGTGATGTTTGCTTCCAGAATGTGCTGGTATTTAGTGGAATCCATTCGTCCCTCCACCCGTGCAATGTTTCCTGTGCCACTGGCTGCAACACAACCCCAGAGCATGATAGATCCACCCCCATGCTTAATAGTTGGCAAGGTGTTCTTTTCATGAAATGCTGCTCCTTTTTTTCTCCAAACATGCCTTTGCTGATTGTGTCCAAAGAGTTCTATTTTAACTGCATCAGGCCACAGCACTTGTTTCCAAAACGCATCAGGCTTCTGTAGATGTCCTGTTGCATACTTCAGACGTTGGATTTTATGATGGGGACGCAGATAAGGTTTTCTTCTGCTGACTCTTCCATGAAGGCCTTGTCTGTGCAAGCATCGCTGCACAGTGGAACGGTGCACCACCACTCCTGAGTCTGCTAAATCTTCCTGCAGGTTTTTTGCAGTCAAATGGGGGTTTTGATTTGTCTTTCTGACCAGCATACGAGCAGTTCTGTCCGAGAGTTTTCTTGGTCTTCCAGATCTCATCTTGACCTCCACAGTTCCCCTGATCTGCCATCTCTTAATTACATTTCTTACTGTGGAAACTGCAAGCTGACAACGCTTTGCTATCTTCTTGTAGCCTTCTCCTGCATTGTGGGCATCAATAACTTTCATTTTCAGGGTCTTACACAGCTGCTTAGAGGAACCCATGGTTGCTGGGTGTCCGCAAGTGTGTGCACAAGGTTTGAAGAGTCAAAGTATTTGTACAGCTTTGAAATTGGCATTTACCAATGACAGCTGTTGCTGTGCATCAGATCTAACGAGCTGATTAAGGTCTGAAACCTTGTGAGAGACTTTGAGACTCTGGAACTCTTAGGGTGCCCAAACTTTTGCACCATGCCATAATAATGTTTTTATTTTTTATTTTTGTTCAATTTATGGCATAAGAAGTAACTATGCATCACTGTTTGCAGAAAATATTGTGCATTTTTTCCATTTCCAAGAGAAACTGTGTTAACATCTGTTCAAATAAAAAATCACCAAAATCTGTTATTTATCAAGGCGTGCCTAAACTTTTGCATAAGACTGTAAATTTGGCAGTTTCCTCAGGAGTATATTTACAGAATTAACACTATTAACTGTTGTTTTTTCTGTTTCTGTACACATAGCCAGCTGTGGTTGCTGATCCTCATGCTTGGTGTAATTGGGTTTTCTCTGGGCATGACTATAATCCCCACACTCCCTGAAATTATCACATGTGCATAGTGAGTTGCTTCACATGTTCCTGCATTTACGATGTCTTTTTTTTTTCATACATACTGCAAAGCAAACCGCATACTTTTCTTCTGTGCAGTGAACAGGGATTTGAAGAAGGACTAAGTACTCTTGGAATGGTGTCTGGGCTGTTTGGGGCAGTTTGGTCCATAGGGTAAATTTTACTGAAGCCCTTTTCTAAGATTCAATAACCATATCTGAATCTAAAACAAGACGTTTATAATACAATATATATTAAATAATGTCTTATTGATTGGTACTTCGATTTTTAATGTTTTGATTGGGATTTTAAAGTTGAAATTTTGTTTTTTAAGGATGTTTTATGGCCCAACGGTAGGTGGCTTTATCACACAACATCTGAGTTTTGAATGGGCAGCTGCAGTCCAAGGAGGGTTGGCATTTCTGGCTGTAAGTATTACTGGCACATTAGCTTTTTGTTTCTTTAAAATTCCAGTTTATCACCATATCATCAATAATATATGATTAGTGACTAATGCACTCATCCTTATGATGGACACAGTTGTCTCACAGCTGACCTTTAGGCCTGTATGATGTTGCCAAAGGGCACATTAAACTATGAAACCTTATGCTTTGCTTGCATGGTATTGTAAGGATGGATAATGTCAGTTAAACACTTCACAAATCCTGATGGAGAAAGGAGCATGTAGTTCCTGTTTCTCAGTAGATACACACATGAAACTCAGTGACCACTTTGTCCTCAGGCCTTTCTCCTGGCTGTGTATTATCTCTGTCAGCGACCACAGCAGCAAAGGTAATCATTAACCTCAAGTGAGGATGATCAGATTTTTCATATATTTATATTGTAAATACAACTGTATATAGTACGTAGAAGGATATTTAGGCATTATTTGTGCAAATTTACAGAACATGCAGCAGGTAACAGTTTTGTTTGATTTAAAGCTTTCGAGAAGATGGGAGTCGACAAACCGATGAAAGCACTCCTCTCCTGACTGAAAGCCTTGAAAACGTGGAAGCTGCTCAGAGGCATCACCTTTCAAGTTGCACAAATAATAAATGTATATTAATTTGAGTTTTTTAAATTATATTTTTTATTGCACAAATTGCAATGACTTATTTGTTTCTTTTCATGTTAATATTGTTTGATGAAATGTTTAAATATATAGTTTGCAGTGGGCACTGCCCAAGAGCTGTATTATTGTCTTCAAGTTGGTAAATTAGAATTTTCTATAGATTGTTTTATACTTTGCAGTTTCAACTGACAACTTCAGTGAATGTAGTCAGCCAGTGGAACATTCCAACTCCACATCACAAACTACATGTGCTTTTGACTTTGACGTTCTGCTGTAATAACGATCTTGGTTTTCTATATCTCAACTTTGATTGTGTTAAACCGACACTCATGAAGAGCTGCTGTCCACATGCGTAGAAATATGAAGGAAAATAACCATGTTATCTTTGAAGTGACATTATACAGGCCAATGTGAAGTGTATTTTAATGTAATTGGGAGCATCGTGCAGATTCTACTGTAGTTAGTGATGTATTTTGTGCCTTCCTTTCTGACTAAACAACTTTAAGATGAGATATCTTTAACTTTTGCACTGATTTGAATTAAAAAAATGGAAAAATGTTTATACATACTATTTCTCTGAAAACCATGGTAGTGGCAGGCTAAAAACCAGAAAGATACCCTGTTGTCCACTGGAATATTAGATTCTTAAAAAGACCATAACACTTAAAAAAAAAAGTTCTCTTGATATGAATTACTCAAAGTTAAAAATGAACACCACTGGTAAATACAAGCTGTTAATCTCTTACGAGCTAAGAATATAAAACGGTTTCCTATATTATCAGTAAAAACGTACACAGTCTATTTATACAGATCAATATTTTAAAAAAAATTAATTTTTAAAAATGCAGAGAATTGTATAATTGATTTTTTTTGTGCAACATTTCATTGATCAATCTGCATTAAGTACAATATAAACAATTTTCAAATAATAAAAAAAACTAAAGAATAGTAAAAATGCAGCACACTTGAAAAGTTTGTTTTCATTACAAAAATGTTTTTTATGAAAAAGAATTAGATGAAAGCACTTGAGCGGAAAACCAATTATGTGTCTAAGCGTTTATGGATCAGGCTCAAAGGCACTGTTGGTTTGGCCTGTTGGTCTCTTTGGGAGGGGCCTGTTTGTTGATCTGCCTCTCCCGCTACTGCTCGACCCTGGAGCATCTGAAAGAGGAGCCTGAGATGACAATGTGGGGACTCCTGGCCTCTTCACTTTCTTTTTTCTTGTAGTTCTGTGGGAAAACAAAGTTGACAATCCACATTCACCAAGCCATAATATACCATAGGTCGTAAACCAATGTTGTCCTGCTTTTACTTAAGAGGAGCAAAACTTGACGCCTCGTGCAGGATTCAGTAAGCATCCTACTGTGAATATAGTCAGAAGGGTTTAAGCAAAGCATCGGTGAAGCGAGCCACTTACTTGGCAACAGTCAACTCAGGTTCTGTGTCGGAAAGTGTTGGCTCGGAAAGAAACCTAAGTTCCCCAGAAGAACTAACTGCAGCAGATACCTTGGAAAAGTAAGGAAGGAGAAAACATGACAACCAGAAAAAGGACAGGGAAAGACACTAAAACACCATCCTGTACATTTCCTGGACCAGAGAGACAGACCCCAATCACCATGCACTCTCTTTCTACACTGAAACGTATACACAAAAAGATATAACTTAACCAAGCAGAAACAGAAGGAAGCCGTGCATCTGGTGTCAAAGAAATGTATGTCACCGTTGCTGCCACACCCTCTCACCTTTAGTCCATATACACTGCTGACTAAAAAGGAACAGTATGACTCAAATCCAAGACAAACACCACTGTATTATAACATCTTCTTACCCTGGTTGGTGTAGATCTCTCCACAGTGTCCTCGGACAAGGCTGTGTGCACCTCTCTGGACTGAGTCACCTCTTCACTGAAATCTGCAACAAGAAAATAACCCATATGTAGCGGGTCCAATTTACAGTAAGTTAACCGGAATAAAATACAATCCACTTACTCTGATCTACTACGTAAGAAGCAAGAAAATATCCCTGCTGCCCGTTGACCAGGCGTCCAAACCACCAGCTGTCATTGTCTTTGTACAGCACTTGGATGACATCACCACGACGTATGGTCAGTTCATCAGACCGATTAGCTCTGTAGTCATAAAGTGAGACAACCTAGAGACAAACACAGTGGTGAAGGGACTGAACATGAGAGGGAAAAGGCTGCATGTGACAGGGCGCACAGTTACAGTTAATACAGTACTTACTACTTGTTGAAGAGGAGCAGAACCTGTTTCCACATGAACGCCTGAAGAAATGTGGTCAGGAAATGTCTAATGGATAAAAAGAAGATTCTGTAGTAGCATTTGACTAATCAGTGCAATAATAATTATCTGGGTAAGATTTAGATTTTACAAAGGTAGACAGTAATAAAGTAACATTTATAAAACTGTTAGCAGCTTCACCTGGAGCCTGAAAGATGAAGCTCCTTTTACATGGTGACCAACTGGAGTGAACCTGCCTGAAATGCCAAAAAAACCCAACTGTTTTAAAGTAACACAATCCACTGACCTGAGTTTACAGAGATAATTTACAGATTCATGACAAAATTACAACAGGTCCATTTGTTTCCCTATGTATGATGATTCAAGGGACTCAAACACACTGCTGGAAGTGTTTGGGCTTGGTCAACCCACACTACAGATATAATTTTGGTAAATATTTGCCCTCACATGTCATATATCTGCAGTTAAGCCCATTCACTGATTAAAGACAAATAACTGTGTGATTAGCTGAGCAAGCCACTGACGGTCTTGGTTGCTCAGAGCAGCCTGGGAAATAAGCTGCTCCGCCAGAGAACCAGAGAGCTGCAGCCTGGAGTGCGGCGACAGGAGAGATGGAGGTGGTAATGACGAATTTAATGCCACCTGAAAAGAAAGTGCTGGATTTGAGTTGCACAGTGATTTATTTCATTTTAAAATAGCAGAACTGTAACAACTATGTTCTTTTTTTATGCAGACGTGCTCACGCCTGGTAAGTGGTTATATCCGTGTACAAAGGTCAATTTAAAGTGAAGAATAAGCAGAAATGTCAAGGTCTCCTACAAATAGCATACATAATGACAACCACCAAGATGCCCTGCATGTTTGATTTGAGCGCACACTATGTAGCTCCATGAAATTATTTTTGTGGTGCTTCCTCTGAATACTTGAGAGAAAACCAAGTTGATTTAGACTGATTAAGAATAACAAAAAAAAAGTCAATGATGGCATAAAAAGCTTTGCAGGTTACATCACCAGCTGTGACGTCAATAAGGACCAAGTATACATATGTGTGTTTAGGGACTACTGATCAGAATACTCACTGTGCCAGCATCTGATGTCAAGCTCCTTCCTGTGTGAATATTGCCCATTTTGTCTAAAAGCACAAACACAAGACAGAATATTTTCATTATGAAAGACATAACACGGTTGTACACAAACATTCCAGATGGGATATTGTGCTAATTATACAGTACCTTGTTCATAAATGCATCCAGAAGACCTTTGATGCGGTTCCTAAAAATGGTTTGAAAGTATAAGGTTTGGAGCATATTCAAATTCTGACTATAAGAATTCAAATAATATTTAGCTGTACATCTATAACATAAAGATGTGACAAATTAAAGGAAAAGCCGGTAAGGTATACTTTCACTACATGCCTCAGCCCAGCTTTAATGATTCTTGGCAAAGACTCTACAAGGCTTTGGAACTCTGCTGAAGTGATGAACACCAGTCTTTTAAAAGATACTCTCACATGTAATGTCTCAATAATGCTGGTGGGGAATGCTAACAAGCTGCTCCAAAATTTTTACTGCGTCATGTTGTGGGTCTCATGTTCAAATGGGCTGAGATTTAGTGATAGTGAACACTCACTCACACTCATCAAACCAGCAAACCTTCAACGACTCATCTGAATTTGTTATGTTTATCTTCTTATTCAGGGTTTTCCTTTAATCTGTCACCTGTTTGTGTATGTCAAAGTAATGGAGGCTGAGCATTTACAAGTACTGAATCCAGCTGCTGCTTTACACGCTGCATTTTCAGTGCGAGTCTTGTTGTTTGGGCAAACTGATCCATGGTTAATACAGAAGATGTATCCTGTAACACAAAGGGGTTGGGTGTGTTTCCCCCAGTTTTGGTGTCTGCAGAAGCTGATGTGCTCGCTGCTTTTATACTGTGCACTTCCAGCTGAGAAACTGTGTAGAACAATAATACAGAGATGTAGCTTAGTGCGTGTCAGTGACTGTACATTACTAATGACTGATTCAATGGCTCATCTGGATGAAATAATGAATAAGTTATTGAGATATTCAGGAGCTACATGCGAGGAAAACAAACCTTTGTGGTCGTACAGGTACACGTGGACAGGCTGGCTCTGACCGAAGGTGCAGAAAGCAACCATGTTCTCATGAGGGTGGAATGACACACCATGGAGAGCAGTGGGGTAACAAAGCTCAGAGTACACCGCAACCTGATCACCTGAGAAGGCAAAACAGCTAAAGGCTGGCACCACTACACAGAGTCCTATCAAGACTGTGGAGAACTGACTGGTTTCTTTATGATGCAAAGAAAAACTAAACGCAATCCCCACCCGTGTCAGTATTCCAGACATACGCCATCCCATCCTCACTACCAGAAAAGATGAAGTTTCCACATGGTGTGAAAGTGCTGTAAATCCTCTCTCTGTAGTTTGTGGCTCCCGTGTACTTCTTTACAGCCAGACTGAAAGAGGGCATTTAAATGGCTAAGAAAATAATGTCTTAATTTTAAACACAGAACATATGATAATATATCATACATGATGATACACTTGATTATTATCTAGCATTTGTCTTATTTTATATAAGGAATTCCATTTTTGTATCTTTATAATATTTTCCTTTGCATTATCATGTAGCCATTTCTTATAATTTCAGATGTTAAGTTTGATCTTACTTACATTCTTAAGTCCATCATCCTCAGGACGCTGTCTTTGGCATGGATGAGCAGGCACCGATTGTTGGGATGGAGCCGCAGCATGTTGATGGGAATGCCCCTGAGGTCACTCTCATCAATTTTCTGCCAAGATACAACATGGATTAAAAATTACAGTACAATATTTTTGTTTCTCTGTATATTTAATTAGACCAACACAGACAACCCCAAAGTACACTTTGTGATGCAATGCAGATCAAAAATAACAAATGTCTTCTCGTGTACCTTCTCTATACACCAGTGATGACATGGCTGCTGCTGCCGCCTGCTGTCGGTCACTGAGGTTTTCCATACAATGATTAGGCCTGTGTTGTCCGCAGAGAACATTCTCCTTCCTACTTACAAACAATACAACAGTTCAATACACAGAGCACAACCATTTGCTTTACAATAAATGGTAAGAGTAATCCATCGCAAAAAATTACAGAAAGGCACACATGTACACTCTACTGTATACACACTGAAACGTTACTGTAGTGTGTTTGAAGGAGTGTTTGTGTGTGTGGGTGAGGTGAGGAGCAGCTTATGATTAAAAGACAAGCCATGGTATAAAAATAAAAATGTTTTCAATCCGTCTTTTATGAGTTAGTACTGGAGGAACTCTTAGTTAAACAGAGGCAGAGAAAGAGCAGGGTCCCCTTCACCAAAATCCAAACTAATTTCATCTTAGTGGCCAACAGACAGAAAATAGTTCCTAAATGTAAGCTTCGTACAAATAGTCAAGAATTACAGCAATTATCAGTTAAACGTTGAACCTGGAACATTATATAAAACAACTCTATATAAAAAAAGTACTTTTTAAAAATGTACATTTCCTCATTTAGCAAATGCTTTTGTTCAAAGCAATGTACGTATGTGGTACAGACAAAGAAGTCTGAGGAAAATGTGGCTGACAGTTCCATGTTCCACCTGACACAAATGCCACAAGGCTCGCAGGTGCATGCAGTAACATGTAAGTGCCTAGCAGATTACGTTTTTTGACAAAAAACTGGAATACAATCAAGAGATAGAGGGAGGGAGAGAACAGGCACATTAGGTGAGTAAGTTCTCTCAGAAAATGTTGTCAAGCAGTTTTTGAAGATGGAAGTGATTTCTGCTGACAAAATCCAGTTCAGTAACTATGTCATTCAGTGTTCCTTTGGTGTACATGTGGTGGATCCCCTCTACAACAAGCCAAGGGCCTAGATTATTTACTGTTCTAGACACCATGACATTCAATTAAAAATTAAAAAGCAATCATTTTGTAAGGAAACATAATCGTTATCTCAAACAGGATTGCAGTCTGTGCTGGACAAGAGGTCAGGGGCAGCCTGCACAGGTTGCCTGAAACAGTAACGTTCAGCAAAAGGGTTTATGTATATACATGCACGACACTGTGAACATCATACCTTCAGAGTCAAAACACACTGTGTTGATGAAACCGCTGTGACCCTCAAAATCCTGCAGCAGCTGGCCATTCACATCATCGACATCAAGCCTCCACACTCGTACCAGAGAATCGTAGCCCCCGGTCACCACCAGGTTCTGGGCGCTGGGGTGGTACTGAGCACAGTACACAAAACATGGATGAGGTAGTACCTTCTGGGCCGTTCCCAGAAGCCTGTCCACATTCCACTCTCTGTGGGAGGAGGGCAAGATGGAAGGAAAGTAGAATAAAGCAAATATTATTTTATTAAAAGAAAAAGGTGTTTTATAAATATACTCTATAGTCAGACAAAAACTGCATAAAGACATGATGAGCCACATATAATTACAGGCTTATGTGCCCCCCCTAGAGGCGCAATAAAAACCAGCTATTAGAGCAATTCAGCCACCACAATGGATTCATTCTCTCCTCATCAGCTTTATTTATTGGTTTAACAGGTAAACAGAAATGTACCTGACAGTGCCATCGGAGGAGGCAGACAAAAGGCTCCGATCATCTCTGGACCAGCAGAGATCATAGACAATTTTGAGATGACCACTGAAGGCTGTCAAAACCTTGCCAGAGGGAATCTCGTATACTGAAACAGTGAATGATCAGGTCAAGTTTTTCCAGTATATTTTTAAAGTGTTGTATAGGCTTGGAAGTTGCATACTCCTGAGGTCATCCCCACTGCTGCTCATCAATATTGTGTATACAAAGTTAATTAGCTGCTGAAGAGTCAAGAGCAGCATCAGCAGAGGGAGATTTATACAGATGAGAGGTTGCCTACCTACAACAGGGAACGCATCTCTGTCAGCACAAGCAGCAGCCAGTATCATCCCAGCATGAGAGAAAAGCACTGTGTAACAGCCCATCTGACCACCACGAAACGCCAATATGGGCTTGTTAGGAATCCGACAGACCTTTAACAAAAACCTCCGGTAAGGCTTGTGCAGACAACCAGGTTTAAATAGTAGGTTCACATTTTTTTCACGACTGTGTAACATGCCCATAAGTTACTGTGTGCATTAAGAAGGAATCACTCCATGGCCAATATTATAAACAGGAGGAATAATCACACCCCCAAGAAACTCTTTTAATGCTGACACGAGCATGTGATTGATTTTTTAAGACAAACTTGAAAGATGTAAACCGATCCTACATCTACACGTTTGAGTTTGTTTGCTCTAACCTAGATTCCAGTAACCGGAATGTTTCTAACAGAAATGTCATACATAGAGATAGCCATTGAGAAGTATTAGAAAATCAGCAGAGGCTGCATTTCAGGTTTACCTCATACTATCCATTCTGTCCTGATGCAGTGAACCCTCTCTAAACTATATAATTCATGCAGGTTAAAACAAAAAAAAACAACACTATACATTCTATAAACGTATAAGCCTCAGAAAATAACCACCTAACTCATATAGTGAAATAGTAAAAATTCTTAAACCAAAAACTAATTCCACCAACCTGACCAGGCAGCCTGCTCCACCTCAAGACTGGTGGCTTGCTGTCTGGATGTTGTGTCAGACTCCTCTTGGTCACCTCGCTCTGCAGGTCAGTGTAGGAGGTGCTGCCTCTCTCCTCCTGCAGTGCCATCATGGACCGGATACTAGGGTCCACCTGCAGAACAAAAAGGATCTTGGCTACAAATCTTAGTGAATCCATCTGTGGCTACACCTCAATTTTATATCAGAATATCTGAAACAAGATTATCAACATTATATATTTAATATGAAACATATAACTTTCATAGGTATATAGTAGACATGTGAGAAATGATGAAGATAAAGAAATAATTAATAGCAGATACAAACTTACTTGATCAGGGAGTTTAATGCCTTTCACCGTAACATAAAGAGTGGCTGCATATTTGTGTCGCGGGTATTTCCTCCACCACTCAACCACCTCTGTTGTTTTGGGTTGTCTCTTTGCACGAGGCAGAGGGCAGAAGAGCTGGAGCCGAAGTTTACTATCAATATTCAGCACACCATTTGTGCCAACAAGCTAAACAGGAAAAAACATGACATAAGACTGAAAAAGAGCTATTAAAATAAATGGCCTTTTTCCTTCAGTGGCCATGTCAAACATATTACCTTGAGGAATGCCCATGCAATCTTTCTAAATCCTTGCTCATGCTTGTCAACATCAGCTTTGGCTCTTGCTTCTTCCATGGTTATGAAGTCCAGGATCTTTACAAAACATTTATACAAATAATAAAAAAGAAACCATTTTTGACAGCTACTGTATATTAGAATGGCTTAATATTTCTAAATGACTTACTTCAAAGAAGAGTATGACTCTGGGGCTTTCATCATCTTGTTGAACAAAGTAACCAAAACGCTCGTTGAAGATAATCTGTTCCTCCCACTCTGGGATGACTGACTTGTTCTTTTTGAAATCAAACGGTTGAGTCATGATGGGAAGAATGTGGTCAACATTCTCCTGCTCATAAAATGAGGACACGGGCCGATGGCTAAGAAAAACAAGAGAACGACATACTGTATTTATACATTACAAGTGAATAAAAACTGAAGCCGCGTAGCTGCTGGAAAGCTGTATATTATATATTTATTCATACAGGTTACAGCACCCCCTGTGTTTTATTGAAATGAAATAATGTTATTATTTACACTTCATTAATACACAAATACCTGTGGTACTACTGTTTCAAGTTATGCTAAAGTAGCCAAACAATAAATATAATGGGCAACAAGAAAACAAGTGGGACCACACAAAGACAGCTGTGAAAAGACAATTTTACATTAAAATAGAGAGCATCTATTCTCACCAGTTTTCTTTCTTCACATACTGCCCGGTGATTTCATCTACAACATGGACCTTCACCATTGGGTGTGAGATAAGCATGTTCGCTTTGAGGAGATCCGCTCTGTGGATATACACTCCCAGCACAAGGCTGTCATCAAATGTTGGTGGTGCTTCTGCCTCTGCTTCACTCTCTTCCTTGACAACTGAAGAAATGGTGAAATAAAAAACAAAGCATTCATAAACATGACAGTGTCAGATTTTTAATAGAACTTTGCACATGATGTCCTGGCAATTAACCTCCACTTACTGTGTTTTTTCTTTTTCTTTTTCTTCATTGCTGTTTTGTTTTCCACATCAGCATCCTGGTCTGCACCTTCATCTTGATCCCTGGGGGAACAAAAACCTTTAAGTCATACTTCACTATGGTGTTAAAAACTGCACTCTGAAACCTTATTGCTAACTATAAAAAAACAGTTATACTGATAGATATACACACCCAACATCAGACTCTGTAACAACAGATTTTAGCTTCTTCTTTTTCTTCCTCACAGCATCATTAGTCAGTGCAACATTTTGGGTAACAACACTCTCTTCTTCTGTCTTGACCTTTGTCTTCTTTAAAGTCCTCGCTTCCTCATGTGCTATCTGCTGCTGGTATTCATGAAGCAGTGTGTCGTCAGTGTCCTCCACCTGTCTCTCTGCTTTGGCCTCTGTATCTCCTTTGCTTTTCCCCTTCGTAGTTTTTCTCTTTGAATCCCCTCCACCACCAACATCACCGGGCTTCACAGCAATCTCAGACTTGGGAACAGCTGCATCCTTCTGAATAAAACTTGTGTTTTCCTTAGGTACAGGGAGGGGGGGAAGCTCCCTCTTATTCTTCTTTTTGCCTTTTGATGCTTGAATCTCCTCTTGGTTTCCACCATTAATATTCGCCTTTTCTGCTATTTTCCTCTCTCTCTCTTTACTTTTGATGTAGCCAGGGCTGCTCTGTTCATGGTCACGTATATTTTGGAGAATGGTCACCTCATCATTTTCTATGTCCTTGTCAGGGTTGCGATTCTGAAGCTAAAACATGGGCGCATGAAAACACAGAAGTTCTGTAAGTTTTTCTTTAACAATTTCAACATTAAATTATTAAATCATAGAAATATGGTATGGCTTACTCCACTTCACTCAAGATATAACTAGACATATCAGAGCACATACCACAATGGTCTCCTGTGTTTCATGGCGTTTCTTCTTTAATCTTTTCTTCTCTAACTCAGTGTATTTCGTGAACACTTCATTGAATCTTTCTCGGGTCCTTGCCCGGTCTTCACTTTCACCTGTAAAACGGTTAAGGTATCATTAAGGGACAATGGCGTGGGCTGAATATGTTGAGATAAGTTAACATTAAGCAAAGCAGCGAGTACTGTTGTGAAGGGAAAAATGAATGTACTCAAGTGCAATTTTGGGGTATTTTCCTTAGATATTTCAATTTGATTTCTACCAATCACATATTGGATCAAAATATTTTGCGTTTTACTTCACTGCACTTATTTATATCCACACAACACATGATCGAGAGATATTGATTTACGGTATCTACCCAGCAGTGTATAAAATGGTTTAAATTAGCCCCACCCTGATCAGCTAACATGCAGCTTATGCTTTACACCTTATAATAAACAAGACACTAGTAATTATATAGCAATAATGTAAAAGAAGTTAAAGGCTGCACTGTAGTAAAGTCACTTTTACGGTTGATACATATAATGTTGATAATACTTCTGTACACTCTTACCTAGCGAAATAAGAATCGTTTTAAACTGTTGTGTTAATGTAACTAGTTTAAGTGAAGTATCCAAGCTAACTTCTTCTACCACTGGCGTGTTGAGGGGACATCCCGAAACTTACCTGCTGGCATCTTCGAGCACCATAATGTCGCTCATTCTGGCTGCAAAACGAGAGTAGCCCACAGTTAGGCTTTCATTCTTAAGATACAAAACAGTAATAACGTTACACAACTAAATCTCTGCTGGTTCGCCGGGTGTGTAATGTGCACAATTGGTTTGGCTAGCTAAGTGTTTAATTCAAGTTTAGCTATTTGAAATGAAAACACCAATAATGACACTAAGGCTGAGCCCAAAACAATCTTAGAAAATACACATTTGTAAGACACTGCAAATTAACGTTAAGCTCGGGATACTGTTAGCCAGAGCCGTAAAGGTATGTATACATAGCCTTAAGCAACTCTACGGTTAGCTACCTTAGCTAGTGCTAACACCTGCTAGCTCAAGCGTTACCTAGCTTGTTAAGTGCTAACACTTGCTAGCTAAAGTAGCATTGTTAACTCAGCACGTTTGGCGCAGTAAGATTAGTGGTGTTCTTCAACAATCCTATCCTTAAGATAAACCAGTCGCCACACAAATGTAGTTAGAAAAATGGGGACTGGTTAGCTAAGGGTAACGCGTGCATCTACCATGTAGTGGTTTTAAGTTGGTTCACCAACAACGCTCCGACGGTTTCCAAGTCAACCAAAACACTGGGAGGGGAGGGCGGCCCGTCACCATCACGTTCGTGACGTACACATACAAACAACAAATTCACCAATGGCATACAGTACCTACATACAGTGAATATGTACATAGTTTCTCAAGCTTGGGCGTAATAGTGGAAATAACAATCCTATAAAAGTAACTAATTAAATAAACCTTTTGCTGTGAGTAGCGTACTGTAAGTATAGCAATTCCAAAAAGTGTAACTGTAAACTTACTTTCTAATTAAAATGTACTTTTTACTCAATCACATTTATGTGAGGCAGCTGCAGATAAAGATTTTTTTTTTAACAGAACACAGATGACTTTCTCCATGAGTGAGGGTTCAAAATACGTAACGCAAGACAATACAATTATATCTGTAAAGGATCTGAAAGTAATATAGGACCGACTATGACGCGTAGCCTACCTTATAGTCACGTGACGTCGGAGTAGGCGTGCCCACGAACAGGTCAAGTGGCGGCAGGTGCTACATCTTCCGTAGGAAGGTGTAGTCATGTCTTCTGGTCTTTGTGAGATGTGCTTTCGATTGCTTGAAGACTTTGCTGCTCATTTGAAGAGAGTTGGCAGAGCGTTTAAGAAAACAGTAAGCCTTAAAACTGAAAGGAGTTTCTGGAGGAGAACGACTCTTGAGTTTCCCTCCTTACACCTGTATGGTAAGAACATTGTAGCCATGCGTTTTCTTTGTTTGTAGGCAGTATTCTTGTGGACGACAAACACATATACACATGTACCATGCCATTTTTACAAATCTGTAATATCAGACTAAATGTTACTTCAACAATGTGTTTTTGTCTTACGCAAATATTCTTTTATATTCCTTCATACAAATAAGATTTTTTTAAAAATGCTGACATCTGACATTTACACATGTACAAAATCAGAATAATGCAAAAAAAAAAAGTTTATGTTAAACTTGTATTTAAGTTTGTGAATATTCATTATTGTTACTCTGCTTGTTCTTGTAGATGATGAAACCCATCAGTTCAGTCTGAAAAGGCTACAAGCACTGAACAAACTTGCAGCTTCAAATGATGTTCATTTACAAATGACTGCAGCCATGTATTATTTGCATCTCAGTCATCAGTGTGAGTAAAGAAATAAATAGATTTTTATGTCAGTCTTCATGTGGGGAACTGACTTGCAGTTCAGCGGCACATAAAATAAGACCATAAGCCCATTGCTTTGTACCATAAGCAATGGGCTCTAACACATATGACCAGTATTATGCAAACTCTAAACTGTATTTTTTTCAGGTTTGGCAGATAACATCCATGTGTCACTGTGAGGAAAAAGTAAAATGATTTCATTTTGAAACCCTGCAGTATGATTTTAATATAATACATTTAACTATGAGCTGTGGCTCAAATAGAGAAGGTTATTACGTGTAGTTCACTTTTCTTTTTCGTGAGATCATTGTAGTGATGAGCTCAGTACGGGTTATGTCCCGTAATATGTAAATGGGTAACCACATAGTTTGCTTATAGAAGGCGGTTAACAGATTGCTGTTTACTTGGTTGTGGATTATAGAACATGGGGATTGGTTCTCTCTTTTAGGACTTGAATTTACCAGATATGTTAATTTCTAACATCTGCTTTAGCTAGTTAGACTGACAATTTAGTTTATGTTCAATTTTTGGAGCCTGTTTAAAAAAAACACTTTGTTACTCTTTGTAACTGCAGTGACATCTTCCTTATCGGACGACTTCCTGGGTCCCATCATGGCTTTACTCTTATCACCTGACCTGCATGTACAAAACACAATCTCTCTGTCCCTGGTCAATCTGCTAATAAAGAATAATGGTAAGTGATGGGTGTCATGAGGTACAGTCAGTATGGAAAGCTTTCAGACCCTTTCAGATTTTCCACATTTTGTTATGTTTCAGACTCATCTTAAAATGGATTCAATTCATTTTTCCTTATCAATCTATAGACAGTACTCCACAATGATAAAGTGCAAACAGGTTTTGTTTTGAAAATGTATTAAAAATAAGACTGAAATATCCCATTTACATAAATATTCCTTAATCTCTCTTCTGTATTACATTTGCCTTAATGGGTAAAATCAACTCAGTATCACAGCTTCTGCCTAGAAATGTCATGGTTCATATGGTTACGATGGTCTTAATCACTGTCCATGAAATCTAATTTCAGTGTGCAAAGAGTTGGTGATTGAAATGGGGATGCTGGTGCCCATACTGGAGTTGTTCCAGTCTGGTGATGCAACTGCTCAGTGTCACTCTTGTGCCTGCGTCGTCATGCTGGCCTCCTCTGGTTTGTACAAACAGGGAGGACTCTCACTGAATATTCTCACACCTGTTCAGAAAGCAGCTGATTTTCATTTGATTGAAACCTTTAAAAAAAATTAGAAATTAAGACAAAATGTAATAATGAACGTGTGCAATGTATTGTTAATTCTAGTAGATATCTATGTGTAGTGTAGAGTTGGACCTTGATCAAATCAAGAGCAAAGATTTTTACTGTCAATTCACTATATGTGCAGAACATACAGAAAATCAAAATACCGTTTCTCTCTCACTTAATTTTTAAGATTACTGTAATGGTCTGTGTTCCTGAATTCTGCACATAGTTCTTTCTGTGTCAGCTGTGTTGAGGTGTTTTCTTTATTTCCATACAGAATCAAACACCGATGCTATGATGTTGGATGGAATCATGCCACTGTTGGCTTTAGCAAAATCCTATGACCCACAGGTGCAGCAGAATGCAACCTGGGCACTGTTGCATCTCACACAGTCAAGTAGGCACATTTCTTCCTCTTGATGTAAAGAGCTGTTTTGTTTCTGTTCCAGGTTTACTTTGCCTGCCAACTTAAACCATCTCCTCTTTTCCCAGATTGGTCAATGAGGATCTTATGTCAAGCAGGAGCTATTCCTGTCCTGATTCTTCTGCTGCAGTCCTCGGATTCAGAGGTTCAATTTTCCAGCTGCACTGCCCTGTGCAATATTGCTGCAATCCAGGAACATCATTCAAAGTTGCTTAGCATTGGGGGTCATTATTTGTTAAAGTCTCTTTTGACTCTCATGTCTTCTTCTGTGCAAAAGGTAACAGTTTACATAAGTGGATAATGATTTTAAGGTAAATTGGAAGCAATGTTTGACTTAAAATATATATATTTTTTGTTTTAGAATTCAGCCCAAGCATGCAAATGCCTACAAGCTCTCACAAAGAATGGTAATTACAAACAATAAAGCCTCAACCTGACGTCATATAGGAGGCCAATACTGTTTGTCATTTTTATTTGTAGTTCTGATCCAGGAGCAGCTGATGGAGCTTGACTGTGTATTGCCTCTGAAGGCACTTCTGAGAACTTCTACTCCCATATGGACCGAGTCAGCTCTAACATTCCTGTCTGTATTGTCGGCATATCCACCAAACAATGTATGATTTCCCACAAAGCAGCATCATGTTATTGATGACTAATCTGTGGTAGGTCAGAGCTGTGAAGAGGCTGTCAATTTGTCAGGGTTGCAATTGGGGTAGACCACTATATAGCCTATCAAAAAAAGCAACTGCAGGTGTAAGGGAAATATCCTACAAATCCTAATACTGATCACATTTCTATGGTTTGACTCCAGGACATCCTCATGAATGAAGGACTGTTGGATGAAGTCGGTCAGCTGCTTCATCATCAGAGGTCCAGCTCTGCTATAATCATGCACAGCTCTAAGATAATCGCTAACCTGTGTAGCTCGTGTATGGGTCAGCAGGTACGCCAAGACGACAGTTCATGATTTCATGTCACATATCTGAAGTAAATGCATGATCTGCTTGTGCACAGTTCCTGAGATTGATGAAGTCTTGTTGAATTCCATCATTGTTGTCTAGGCCGTGATGAAAAGTCTGTGTTTATCAGGACTCCTCTCAGCCCTTCTGTCTGCCACCTTGGCAGATGAGACCTTGGTGCATGTGACATCATGCTTACATCACCTGATGATCTGGGGTGAGTTACATGAACAGTCTGAATATTTGCAGTGGATGTTAACTTTTTAAAAATCCAATGAATATTGACTTAAACATATGATGGTCGTATATCTTTGACTTTCAACTTGCAGTACTAATAATTTCTTAAAAATCACTGTTTCAGATCAACTTAAGTCTAAGTTGTCAGCGACAATAACATCAGATCAAGTTTCAGCACTGGTGAAGCTGTCTGGACAAATAAGAAATCCTCAGTTGTCATACAACTGTGCAGCCATCATAAGCAAATTAGAAATGAGTGGTAATATTCAAGGACTACCTACCAATAAAAAAATAATCACTTTCGCCTTACATACTATTAATTAATTGTTGTCTTCTGTATGTTTTCATGCTATGATTCATCTAGAGGAGATGATCCACTTACTGAGACCTCACTACATGACCATATCTGAGATCCTGTTGGTATTCCTCCAGAAGAAAGATGTTAAATTCCAGCAGCTCTGCATAGTTATAGTATTCAACCTCAAGAAAGGTTCATATTAGTCGTATTTTGGTTATCTGATCATAGATGTTCCTAAGCCAATCTAAAATAGTCATCCACTGTATGTCTAGACTTCTTATAGCCTGCTTCCTCTGCAGATGGAGACTTCTCATCTCTGCTGGCTAACAGTGAGCTAGAGCTGCAGCTCTGGAAGGTGCATGCGCAGACAGAGGAAACCAGACGGCTGCTGCAAATGATTCAGCCTCTTTCTCCATCTTCTGTTAACCCTTGACTTTCTCAGTATAAATATTGAGTGATATATTGAGATGTGCACACTGTGTCCATACATTGTATGGATAAACAGCATTTTTATCACATTTGGAGTTTTGATAGCCTGTATGGCTTTTTTTGTTTTACTTAATTGTTAAAGTCAACATATTAACTGAAACAAGGGACTCAGTATAGTATCCACTTTAATCAAATATGGCAGACATTTCAACAGGTTAACAACTGATAGTAATAAGCAATACTCCAACTATAAGATCAAATGTTGAATATTGATCTGATTTTTTTAATATATGTTTTTATTATAATAAACTCTTAACCTCTACACCTCAGACTTTGCTTTGTTAATGATTGTGCAATAATTGCTTTGCATCATTTTCTAAAACACCACTCATAAAACTGAAGCAAAGTCTTTGGAATCTAAGTTAGCAGCTTTGAAATATGTGATTGTTATACTTCACAAATTCAGAGGGTTAAAATAGGAATTTACACAGGAAGTGAACATTGACTAACGCCTTAAACTCTTAGTGCAAACAGCAATTTGATCTATTCTAATTCCACTGTGACAAGACCGAGGAAGGAAAAGTGCTTAGAAAGAAATATTAGGAATAAGTAAGAACCATATGGTATAACATATGTGATTGTTAGAATGGCTATTCCTAGCATTTCACAGAGGCAACACTCTCCATAACTGTTAGACTGCATTTTCTAGCAAACTATCATCATAGCAGTCTACATCTACTGTGTTTTAGATATTAGTTCAGAAACCTGCTGTACTGAAGAAATGAATTTGCAACTTCCACAGTATTTGTTCCACACAGAAGAGTGACCAAATGCTGACGTCCAAGGCTATAATTTTACATGCTCTTTCAAGATGCTTAAGGGCAGCAAAATGGCTGTTCTGCAGTCATTTCCGTCTTTCACAGAGAATTCACAGCTCTCAGCAAATTCTTTGAACTTCTCTCCACTTTGCAGGTGCTCAGATGACCTCTGAAAAGTGCACAGTAGGGAGACAAAGAGTTAAAATGTTTGAGAGGATCTTACATTTGAGATGCATTCTGTAATTTTTATCACCAGCACCTCATAATCATGTTTTAAATTGAATGAATGAACCTGTCATGTCTTTTTACAGCTAATTAAGAACAAACATGAAGCATGTCAGTGAGTTTGTAGGTCTGCAATGTGTTCGATTAGTTTAGAATCGGCTAGTGTTTCTTTTCAATCCTGAGGACAAGTGTTCTCAGGTGATCTGCTGGTTGTGTCTCACCTGCTCGTTGGTGGGTCTGGATTTCCTCCAGTCCGGTAAGTGTTCTGAGAGACCTCCGTTCTTTGAAGACCACAACAGGTACTATGTCGTCCTCACTGTTCAGCCTCAGCTGTGAGGACTTTGTCCCCACTGGGAGCCTGACACCATCTTCCATAAGCTCTGTATTCTCCTTTGGTTGGGTGTCATTTGGCAATATCGCAATGGGCACTGCTTTCTGTGTTTTAAAGCAGTAAGCAAGAACAGGCTGTGTGGCTTTTAGGAATGCAGCTGGTTTGTTATTAGTTGATGCTGGCTGTGCAACATGAGAGCCCTATGGCAATGTACTGAACAGTAAATCTCACCATGTCTGGAGAATCTGTCCTCCTGGTTCTCCGCATGATCTCCTCAAGACGCTGGAAAAGAAACCAGCTTTTATTGAATCTGTGTCGTGAAAGGCTGTGTGAACACATTCAGTGTCTTACATAAGACAACTTTTTATATTTATCATTTTGATTAATACAGCTGATGCAGTGCTGTGTGCAGATACACTTTCACTTAAAACCTGTTTTCTTGCTTGTCGTTCTGCTTCCTCTTTCCGTGCAAGTATTTCTCGCTCTTGTTTCATATGCTCTGCTTTTACCCTCTCTTTGGCTTGTTCTTCCTCTCTCTAATACGAAAACAGGAAAACAAACTGTAATTGTCCATTAAAAATGAGTATCAAAAAACAAAAAGCATCCACGAAGAAGCCTGTGGTTTCTTTTGCAGTTTCACTCATGAATGGAGGAATGTTTGCATTTCCAACCTGTTTCTGTAGAAGGGCAGCTTCCCTCATGGCCTGGGCTCTCTCTTCCTCAGCTCGTCTCTGTTCTTCTTCCTCCCTTCTCTTCTTCTCCTCTATCAGACGTTGAGCCTCTGCCTGCTGTTGTGCTCGCTCCTTTGCCCTCCTGTACTCCAGTTCTTCATGACTTCGCCTGGATATGTCATAGGATATAACAGTTTAATGGCCTGCCACTGCAGGGTTTCTGTCTTGTAGATGGACGTGCTTTTTACCTCTCGGCCTGTTCTCTTTGCAGGCGCTCCTGTTCCTCTCTCTCCCGCTGTAGTCGGGCCTCTCTCCTCTTTTCAGCCAAGAGACGCGAGGCCTCTTCTGGGTCTGTGGTTCCAGCTGAGGGCCTGCACACAACTTCAGGAAGCTGTGAAGCTGGATGAGGTGGCACCTGGGAAGGACCTGTAGAGGGAGAAATTAAACTTAAATATATATACAGAAAAAACAATTTGGCTTAAAGGACTTCTGTAGCTTACATCCATTTCCTGCTGTTCTAGTTATAGCTTCTGTCTCTGGGTCAGGCCGGCTGGAACAAAGAGTCTCTGTTGGATTTTCATCTCTCATTTTATTTTGCTGAGCCTCAGCTGATGTTCTGGCAGGCCTTGCGTTACCAGGAGCAAGGGCAGAAGTACAAACCACCACATCTTCCTCAGGGACCGATGGGAGCTCAAGTTGCAGTGGAGTTGGCTGTCTGCTGATTGATCTTTGAGGGGTTCTTTAAGATCCAGAAGAAGAGAGCTGATGTACCACTCTGTTTACATTACTGTCACTGTGTTGGGAATGTACAGCTTTAGGTACTGATCACAAATTTAACTTACTGTTCTGGTGAGGTGGAGGCTGTTCTGCTTTGTGTAACAGTGATTGGTTTGACACTGGTGTTGATGCTAGCTGATCTAATGTTTGAGTTCTTCTTATAAGCATCTTGCTGTTTTGCTGCTTTGATCTAACCCAAAAAGAAGGAAAGAAAAAGGCTATCAAACATAATTTCAGTCTTTTTTTACCTCTTTAAAATCAAAAGTCTGGAAAAAATAGACAACTGGGTGATTCCAAAAATAATAGCTGATTATAAATACTATAATTTAGCAACACAGTATGTATGTAAGACCAAAAGAGCAGCTAGATTTACCTGTGCCAGACTGTTGTTTCTGTTGTTGGGACTGGGAGAGGCAGACGGCCTGTGATGAACTGAACCAGAGTGGTGCTGGGTTTGGTGAGAGGTGGGGGTGGTGGTGGTCATGGAGTGAAATGAAGCTGCACGGCGACAAACATGGACAACTGAGCCCGTGTTTTGTGCCATAATTATGGAAAAATGGAGAAATATGCACAAATGGTGGGAACAATGAAAAGGGTGAAATGTGAAGCGGTGTGTTAAAAGAGGAAAATGAGCAGCATTAGTAAACAAAGGGCCTGCAAAGGTTTGTTGTAGAAGCAATGTAGTGTCTCTTAAATCTACTACACACCATTAGTTTTGCAATAACATTAAAGTAAATGAGCACATTTTGTTATCAAGGGAGAGAGTACCTTCTTCCCCTGACTGACAAGCAGCACTCTTGCTCCTGGCCAGAAAAGAGCATGTAGGGGTAAGAAGGCGACTGATCAAATTCTTCTCCCATGCGGTCAGTGGTGAGCGACGTGGAACTAGCGTATTGATCAGTATAAAGTTTCAGGTGTAGCAAACAAAAGATAAGGCATGCCAAGAATTATTGTGTCAAGATATACAACACAGAAAACAGACACTGTATGTACATTGTTATGGGGTCAGAAAGATTCTGTTAAAACAGAGGAATAAAGAAAGCCCCTTCTACTGACCGTTTTTGGTGAGCTTCCTTCCTCTTGTGTTTTGGCTGAGGTTCTTTTGGGCCCTTTGGCTCTTCTCCAGTGTCCTGCGCACTGCAGATTCATATCGCGCCTTCATTCAGGAAAAAACAAGCTTCACTGTTTATGTTACTCCTTCCAGATCGGAATCATTAGCCTCACTAAAAATACGTTTTTGATTCCCAGCATGACACCTCACCTTCTCCTCCTTCAGCCTCTGCTGGCGCTTTTCTTCCACAGCAGCACGTCTTCTCTCCTCTTTGAGTCTCTGCTCCAGGAGTTTCTTCTTGCGCTCCTGCAGTTGTTGTTCATAGTAACGCCTGGCCTGCTGTTCCCGCTCCAACCTGCTCAGCTCCCGAGAGGCTGAGGGAAAAAGGTAAACCAACATAAATAGATTCATCAGTTATGTATGTTAATCAATAGAGCAGTGTGAATTGCACTACCACAGGGGGCTGACATACCAAGTAACTTCTGGTGAGCTTCTCTTCTTTCTCGTGCTGCTTTAAGCCTCTCGTCCACATTTAGTCCATTAGCCACTAGAAATCCAAGACAATACTAGTTAGTCACTAGCTTGATGCCATAGATTACATTAAGTAATACTACTATTTATATGAAACACTGAAACCCAAATCAAGACTTTATGAAAAATGAAATACTTTAAACTATAACTGGGCATCTGCCTGATGGTCCTAGGTAACCAAAGAGCTGTGTCAAATTGGGCAGACTTGTTAACAGACCAGGCTGCTTTCTTTAAGCAGTTTGGTTTGAAATAAGAGCCATTCTCTGGATGTGAAGAAAAAAATCTGCACATTATTCATTTAAAAAAAACTGCAATACCTCTGACAATATCTCTTAAAGGCTTTATTTTTCATAACCTGACACTCAACGTTCCCCTTTTATTTAAATCTTCTACTGTCTGTAAACACACATACAGTGTGATTCTATCTCTAAATGCATGTTTTAGCACAACTCGTGATGTGAAGTGGTGGTTACATATAAACCAAAAACAAATCCACTTGAAAAATGTGTCCCAAATAGTGACTATTATTGACTGGGATAGTCTCAGGCTCAGCTGCAAATGAAAGAGGCATTATTAACTGTCTGCATATTAAAGGTAAAGAGACGAAGATGACTGAAACAAGGAATGAAAAGGGGCACAACATAGCAGTACCACACATGACCGATGAGTAACTTGTATAAATCCACAAGGGGAAAAATCACATGGATGTATTTCTTAGGGTTTAAACAATATCAGCATCCTTATGTTTATGTTTATGATAGAATCTGCATTCACAGATCTCCCCTGTTTCCCTAATGTTCATGGTAGCCATGCTCAGCTACAAAAGGGTTTATCTGGTCTATTTATGCGTCATCGGTGTGATCAGATGATCAGATGATCCTATGTTTGGTATCTGGCTTTGCTTCAAGAAAAGGCTTTTTTAAAACAAATATAATACAAATTTTCCTTAATTAAAGGTATAGATAAATGCTACAAACCTCCCATTCTTTCAAATCCATTCCCCTTCCTTGGTCTGTCAGTGGTACGTGTAGAAAGTGGTCCCTGCGATGGAGGGTCAGCACTCTGTTTCTTCTGCACAGCCATGCTGGGTACTGAGCCTGGCATACCGATGCTCTCACTCAAAAATCTCCCCCTCCTTTTCCTCTTTTGAATTTCTATTTCAAGATGCCTTCGGGACCTTGCTTTCAGAGTCTGCTGCACAGGGATCTGCCTCCTGAATCAGCTGCTTGTCCATCTGTGCGTCACAAACCAATAGAAAGAAATGCAAGAAAATAAAGCATCTAGTTATACTCCTGTCCAGTGGAGATCATTTAAGGCAAGGTGGTTCACAAAGAAATTGTACCCCAGTCTCCTTTTATGGAAGTCTAAAGAGATTGTGATCTTCAGTGAGACTATAAAAAGGATACTCCCCCTTTAAAGATCTCTCCCTTGTGAGCTGCTCCGCTTTACTTCCACACAATATAGCTGTGTCACTTTAACTCCCCCACCACACTGCCTGCTTGCTAGATGGAAGTGGCCAAAAGGATGCAGCGTTTCCTGGAGACAGAAGGAAAAAAAAACCATGGAGGCAAAGCTGAAAGATGGTCCCCATGAACAATTACCTTGACAGCAATATAAATAATATTCACTGACATACTTTGCTTGGACATTAATTTGTCAGTGCCCTCAACAGATGTGGTAAAATGAGGTTTTTTAAAAGCATGATTCCTTCTTTGAAGAATGAATTAGTCTGACCACTAGATGGGGGTCTTTCTTTCTAAAGAGCAAGCTGAAGTCAGTCTTGCCTCTTAATGCCTTGTGATATATACATTAATATTTATCTTTTGGGTTCAAACAGACAAATATGTAAAGGCCTGTCCAATTTAAGTAACTCAAGAATATTTTAATTTTTTTTGTTTCTGTGTGTAATTTGAGTCTTTTGTGTGATCTGATGTTAGTCACTCATTCAGTTGACCCAGTGCCCTATTTTGGCTAAAATAGCAAACATACTCAACTAACATTATAAACTCAGAAGTCATGAACATAAGTTTTTTTTTTTTATGTAAACCTACTTATCCTTATAAAATAAAAATCAATAGTATGCCCAGATATTTACACATATGTCATAAGAATTATATTATTATACATTATTTTTGCTGTGTTTTAATCAATATATGCTATTCAATGGGTTTTAAACTTTCAGAATGGAGCCATGTGAGAAACTGGCTGTGTATAGGCCTGAAGGACGTTTTCTATCTTTCTTGTGAAACTCTGTGTACTGTGATATACTCGACTACTTCCAGATGAAGCGAGACACAACCGTCAACTGCAGGATAGACATGTGTCCCAGTATGATTAGTGTCTAAGTCGTGTTATCAGGGTGCGCCTGTTTACTATATATTATGTTGTATGAACCTACCTCACTCAGACAACTCTGTATGCTCATGCTGACTTGTCTCCTTGCTACAAGTAAATAATAGTGCTTAAAATGTTCCAGTGACTTCATTGCATTATTTAAAATTCCTTTGACAACTTACTACATCTCTTACAGAAACAGTGCATGAACATTTGAAGAAAGAATATTTTAATGTTCAAACTGTCGGGTAGTTGGCGAGCTTTTTAACACAATGTAATCAGTGGTAGAAATGGACATTCGGCAGGACTAAGCCAAGAGCCTTCCTGGTAGGACATGGTAGATTTGACATGGTCAAGTGTACTCTTGAGTTGAATCTGAGTAAACAAATAATAAGCCGTTTGAAGATACTGTATAATAAGTCAAATCTAAACTCATGAACACGAAACCTATCTTCTGTAGGCACTTTACGAGATTATCGTTATCTGCAATGTCACCCACACAAATCCATTTAGAAATTGTAGGAAAAATACAAGAAATACTTCTTGCATGTTACTGTGTTTATTATTGCTTAGTTTTTGTTGTTAGTGTCAAGTCTTTTTTAGTTATGCTAGCCTCCAGAGTCAGGTTTTTAGTTTGTCACCTTAACCTGTCACTCTGATGAACACTTGACCCATGACAGTATGACTGGAAAATAACCCTCAGTGCACTACCTGTAAATATACATTGTACAGATTATACAGATCCGTACAGGTCTCTATTTTTAAGTACTCTATTTTTATTCCTATTTATCTCATTTCAGAGAGTATTCCTCTGTCTGTCTGCATTGTTTACCGCCTGTTTATACAGCTTATTTTGCATTGTTTGCACTGTTTGTTGCTTGTTAATACTACTTATTTTGTTATATTACACAGCCTTATGCTGGTTTACTGTTTACTTGCCCCTTGCATGGGGATATGTACATACACATTGAGAGCCGATGTACCAGAGTCCAATCCCTCGTGTGTCTGACACACCTGGCCAATAAAGCAGATTCTGATTGTGGTTCTGATTCTGATATAGCACTCTTCTGAATTTATAGAATAAATAAACCATTCAGATTTTGAATAATTAGTTTTAAGTAGGTTCCCCTAGTCACTTCAGTTCAGATCCAGTTTGGCCTTACTGCACGTGGCTTACGTGCTTGCCACAACACCAGTAATAACAATGCTCTCTAACTGTGTTTCACTGATGAAGCTTGCCAAGCTCCCCATCAAAGAGTCTGAAATGTGACATAAGGATACACTACACCTCAGTCAGGTGGTGTGCTCACAGAGTCACTGGAGCACAAATGAGACGGTGATAACCAGCCTACAACCGACAGCTAGAAAATGCCTTTGGACACTGGACCTACATGGGATAAGATTGCATGTTTGGTATCAAGTCATTCTGTGGTTCACCCTGGATGACATTTTCAAAGGTGTCAGTTGGCTTGGTTGCTTACTTATGCATATTCATAAATGTTATATTAATATCCTTCCAAAATGCTAATAGCAGCTTTTTATTGCACATACAGTGACATGTTTTGTAACTTGCACCAAACTAGTCATCTCTATTTTGTTGTAAAAGAGAGCTGCTCAGAATTGTTTTTTTTATTCAAGTTAAATTCTTTTTGTTCTTTATCACATCAGAAAAGTCAACTATGACACATTTGGCGGCTGAAGCCAACTTCAGAGTATTTAAAGTTGCACGTGATGACCTATTAGAGAATGAGGTTGGTATATTAAACAGCAGGGACAAGTGGTAATTTTGCACTATTGGTGACATGGTTACTGGCCATCCTGAAGCAACGAGGACATGTCCTCAACCCCTTAGCCATACTGAATCATGTAATTAAGGAGAGAATCCCTCAACAGAGTTGCCAGGTTGGTGTCACTGAGAGTATCACACACTTCCAGCTGAGCAGGCAGGAAGAGGATGTGTCCATTTCAATTCTAAGCAAAGACAAGGAGAATAGATGCATGATGTTAAGCATGATGTTTTGTTTGATACACATATGTTAATAATGATTTATTCTGTATTTATATCCTTGCATACTTGATAATGTTTTAAAGTGAGTTGAACAACACAAGATATTTTTCCAATGTGTTAACAGTGATGACACGTTTCCCTGTTATTCCCACTAAGCAAAATCAATTTGTTCTGTTGTGAACAGTAATACCTCCAATGTGGATGCCACAGTCAACACTGACTGGACCACTTAAATAATTTAGTGCCTTATTTCATCGGATACCGGCAACTTTAGACCCCGACGTATGGCTTACAGACTGTTTGTGTAATTGATGAGATGATGAGTTGTAGTTCAGCATTCAGTAGAAGTTGGATTGAACAGAGGTTGCTAAAGCATGCCTCAGCTCACTTAACAGTGCAACATATTCAGTGCTGCCTTTTTTCATTTTGTGGGCAAATGCATCATGCCTCTTTTTTTTTTATTTGATTTGCACAGAAATATATAAAAATGATTCAGGATTTAGGTCAGTTTTTAAGCCTGAATGAATATGAAACAAAAAGGCTTTGCAAATCAGCTTTGACACCATTTGGTGATTCCATAACAAAAGGTAGTGTGTCTGCACTAAGACCCAGTTTGGATCAGCGCTCACTTGGTGATTCAAAGGAAACATTCTTCCAGTTTGGCCAGACTGACTTTTGTTTTCTATCATGATATTCTATCACTTGACAATATATTGATTACCTAATGCTCACATATTTGGAGCTTTTCTGGTAGTTTTATGTTGATATTGCGTAACCTTTACAGATTTTGTGCTGTCTTTTTGTCTTTTGAGGGCAGAATTTTAATGTCTTTCTTTTTCCCCGGTAGCATGCCAACTGTTTTAAAACTTACGCAGAATCACTACAGTGTATAGTTGAGGTGTGTGACAACTGGATTAATTTGATGGCCTGTATACAAACGTTTTAAGCAACACATAAAATAAAAAATGTTTTATAATTTAAAAAATGCTGCTAACATGCATATATATCTTTAGTTGTGTTCGGGGCCTATGTGGATTGGCAGACTCTGTTCACAGTGACGTCTCTCAGCAGTCCCTAGTTATAGTTACCAGTGTCGGGTTCTACGCTCATGCACTATTCATTGGTGTATCACATCACTCCTGCGCAACTTCAGACTTGGACAAACTCAACTCTTTTCTGTACAACTTTACTTTGTAGCCATATTCTTACTGTTGTGTAAATGTCTAAAATGTTTACATAGTGCGGCTTCTAATTCAGAGAAAAAAAGAAGCTGAGGGACTGTTTCCTTTGCAGGAAACTTGCTGGAGCTACTGAGAGGAGGGAGCCAGGATCACCATTGTCTTATATGGTATGTATGGTCAAATTATATTAATTCGTTCACAGCACCATGTTAAGCAAAGATCAGATATGAGCCCCAAAGCTTTGGCGTTTAGGGCTTTTGCAGAGTACTTGAAAGACTTGAAGTGTTTTTTGTTGTTGCTTGTTTTTTAAGGAGGGACTATTTGAAGATTTATTTTTTATTGTGTCAAGTTGTTGAGCTAAATTGTTTTGTTCGGCTACTGCAGAAATATTTACAACTTTCAAAAATGTCTCTTGTGCAATGTGCAGTTCATAAAGCTGTTTGCTTTGCTGATTTTCGAGCATTGTTACGTGATAAAAATAAATGGGGTGTGGTTTCATGATATTCCACTTCGTTTTCTCTTTTGACTATTTCAAAAGAAGTAAGCAAAACGTTTAGGAAAAAGTGGCAGCCCTTCATTAAGGGCTTGTGGTCATCTGTGAATACCTTGAAAAAGGCTGGTCTTGATATTAATTTGCAGAAAGTTGTGAATGACCTGTGGTAAGGTCACTGCAGATTAATTGCTGCAGATGAAACATTTTAAGTGTATTATTTTTCACAGTGCATGTGAAATGTATCCTCTTGAATTGATGTATTAAGGTCAGCTGATTTGAATAATTGAAAGCCCCTTTTGAAGTCTAGGTGTGGTAACTGTTTCCTAAGTCATATGATTTGGTTTTGAATAAATATGCATTCATTGTTTTAAATGCTCTTAATAATTTCTGCTTTTTCCTTTGCTCTTCAACTTTTTTTGATAGGCACACTGTTTCTTTTGTGT